TGGCGTATTTTTGCGATTAAAGGAGGCATGTCAATTTTTCACATTTTGCGTGTATTCTCTATGGGACATGACTTTTTCTCAAAACTAGATTCTACATTCCCGTCTTTCGCGAGCAATATCTACGTCGTTTTAGCTTCATTTACGCTGAACTTCGGGTATGTTGTAGCTGAGACAAAAAGCTATCTCAAATGTACCCGTCATTTTGTCTCAATTTTTTGTTGGATCAGCCCACCTATACTTGTTCCAAACAAGTTTTACAAATCTAGTTTATTCTTTATTTTTCTTATTTCTAACCACTTTTTTGTGGACAAGATAACTTGAAAATGGCTCGATCAAATGCCTTGAAATTTGGCACACATATGTATACGCATATGTACAAAGCACAATAACGTTTTCAACATTGACCTTTACTGATGACGTCATCTAGGCGCCATTTTGTAAAATTTTACGAAAATCAACTCATGATCATATCTTCATAACCAAAAGCTATTTCTCATTCATATTTATTATGATCAAGGTCAATATCCGTCCGGTCAATTTCAGGTCAAAAAACGCGCGCGTGCGCGTACGTCCGCGCGTCAATGCGCGTGCAAAATTTTCAAATGCTCAAAATCGTCTCAAAATCATTTCGCATACGTTTTAGGCCATTCTAAGCATTTTATTAAAAAATCGCGTTTTCGCGCGTAAAGCTATTACGCAACATAGAATCGCCAATTTTTTTTTCTTTCATAATATTCCACATTTATTTACAATTAAATTGATACCATGTTTGTCTCTTTATGACTATTAATAATGGAATGATCGACCGTTTAACACAAGTTTCCGTGCGCGCGAGCTCTTGTAATACATAGGATATATGGGCAAAAACATGCCTAGATACAAAATCCATTGTAGCTCTTTAGGATGCAAGGTGACCCCAATTTTTTTTCATATTTTAATAGAGTATGATTTGGAGATATTTTTCATGTCTCATTTGACCCTCAATTAACTCATGACGTCATCATAATGGCCTCCGAAATCAAAATTCCAATTTGCATATTATGACGTCAGCATATTTATGGAAAATTGATTGTATCTCTGTAAATATTGATCGATTTTCTTCCAAATTTTGATTTGTTCTAGCTGAGACAATTTTTTACAAATGCAATTCCTATTATTCTTCATTTTGACAAAAGCATCATGGCGTATTTTTGCGATTAAAGGAGGCATGTTAATTTTTCACATTTTGTATTCTCCATGGACATGACTTTTTCTCAAAACATGATTCTACATTCCCGTCTTTCGCGAGCAATATCTTCTTTGTTTTAGCTTCATTTACGCTGAACTTCGAGTATGTTGTAGCTGAGACAATAGGATATCTCAAATGTGCCCTTTATTTTGTCTCGATGTTTTGTTAGATCAGCCCACCTATACTTGTTCCAAACAAGTATTACATATCTAGTTTATTTTTCTTATTTCTAACCACTTTTTTTGTGGACAAGATGACGTGAAAATGGCTCAATCAAATGCCTTCAAATTTGGCACACATATGTTACCTGGCAGTCCTTTCTCACTGAACTGACAACAAGAGGACATGGATCTCGTTTTAGGACATTCAACTGCAGTAATCAGACATATGCTTCTTCCTTCTTCCCAAGAACCTGCAAGGACTGGAACAACCTTCCACAGGACCCAGCCCAATACCACTCTCTTGACGCCTTCAAGGTCTTGACGCCTTGAGTGGGATGCAGATGTAATGTCTACAAGACTGGGAATGTTTTTTTTACTTACACATGTATATGCACCTGCACAACAAGAACAACAAGTTAAAATGTGGAATAACAGGACATGTGAAAGTCTCCACATATACACACAAAACCAGTGCGATTATCTTCATCACCATGAAGCGGCACTTAACTGGAAGAAGAAGAGGCATATGTACAAAGCACAATAACGTTTTTAACATTGACCTTCACTGATGACGTCATCTAGGCGCCATTTTGTAAATTTTTACGAATGGTCATATCTTCATAACCAAAGGTTATTTCTCATTCATATTTATTATGATCAAGGTACGCGCACGTGCGCGTATGTCCGCGCGTCAATGCGCGCGCAAAATTTTAAAATGCTCAAAATCGTCTCAAAAACATTTTGCATACGTTTAAGGCCATTCTAAGCATTTTATGAAAAATCGCGCACACGCGCATGCGCGCGCGTTTTTTGTGCGTAAAACTATTACACAACATAGAATCGCCATTTTTTTTCTTTCATAATATTCCACATATTTTTACAAACAAATTGATACCATGTTTGTCTCTTTATGACTATTAATAACGGAATGATCGACCGTTTAACATAAATTTCCGTGCGCGCGAGCTCTTGTAATACATAGCATATAAAGGCAAAAACATGCCTATACAAAATCCATCGTAGCTCTTTAGGATGTAAAATGACCCCAATTCTTTTTCATATTTTGATTGAGTATGAATCGGAGATATGATTGCGGGTCTTTTTTGACCCTCAATTAACTCATGAGGTCATTATATTGGCCTCCAAACTCAAAATTTCAATTTGCATCAGCATATTTTTAGAAAATTGATTGTATCTCTGTAAATCTTGATCGGTTTTCTTCCAAATTTCGATATATTCTAGCTGAGACAACTTTCTACAAATGCAGTGTATAACATTTTTTCATTTTGACAAATAAATCAAGGCGTATTTTTGCGATTAAAGGAGGCATGTCAATTTTTCACTTTTTGCGTGTATTCTCTATGGGACATGATTTTTTCTCAAAACTGGATTCTATATTTCCGTCTTTCGCGAGCAATATCCCCGTCGTTTTAGCTTCGTTTACGCTGAACTTTGAGTATGTTGTAGCTGAGACAATTAGCTATCTCAAATGTGCCCTTCATTTTGTCTCATATTTTAGTTGGACCAGCCCACCTATATTTGTTCCAAACAAGTATTACAAATCTAGTTATTATTATTTTAAGTAAAAAGGAGCACCTCGTACCTGAAAAGGGGCACCTGTAAGAAGGAAAAAGAGGGTATTTATTACAAAGGAAAGTGGGGCACCTATTAAGATAAGAATAGGGAAACTTATCAAAGGGCACTTATGAAAAGGGGAAGGGGCACTCATTAGAAAGAAAAAGGGGACACTTTTGGGGTACTCGAAAAAGAGGGGGAGGCACTGTGCCTCAGTGTGTGTCATAGAGCGTAGATATACTTGGAGAGTGTTCCAAAGTTTTGGGTCAGTGCTTTATCACAAAAGGTTTTTTTTTTGCTCTAGGATTGATGGTGAGAAGGTGTTGTAAGATGGCCATGGTGGGATGTAAGGTAGGAATAGGGATATCGGACAAAGGTTTAAAAAAAGATTTGAGATAAAATTGTTTAAAATTCCCATAAAGGGAACCAACCTGATTTGGGGTTCTGTTTTGGAAGCTCTGGTAGATACGGTCAGGTCGACAACCTGTTAATGATGACCTAGAGGCTGTTCACACCGCAATGAGATAGCGCGGTCTATCGGAGCACCCCTTTTTTCTAGCGCGCTAGACCACGCTATCTCTCGTGGACCACCCCCAAGAGGTGCTCCAGTGGCACTCCGTTTTGGCTCGCCGTGGCTCGCTGTTGGGCGGACCGAAACGACATTGTACCTTCCACACCGCAGAGATAGCGCGGTCTAGCGCGCTATCTCTGCCGGTGTGAACAGCCTCCTAGATGGCCTAAGTAACTTAAGTGGCCAAAGAGATTGTTAAGAAAACTTTACATGTTTTTGCCAAGCACCTTTGTCATATTTTTAATGAGTCTTTTTATTTCAGGACAACTTCCGGATCAATTAAAGTTAGTAAAAGTAATACCCCTTCATAAGAATCTCTGTAAAGAAAACAACAGAATATTATATGATTTCTATCTTGCCAATCTGTTCAAATTTTTTAGAAAAATTGGTGTACAAACGTGCTATTTTATATGCTAAACAATTGAAATTTCGTAAAAAACACTCAACATCCACGGCTCTAATTGAATGTTTAAGTTTCTAACTCATGCATTGGAAAATAAGCTAATTCCTGCTGGTACATTCCTTGATTTATCTAAAGCATTTGACTGTATTAACCATTCTATACTGTTACAAAAGCTATCGTTTTATGGCTTACGGGGTACTCCTCTCAAATGGATCAAAAATGACCTTTTGAATAGGAACCGGGTTTGTTAAATTTAATAGTGTTTGTTATCAATCACAGATCCTTTCAACAAGAGTACCCCAAGGCAGTGTTCTTGCTCCTTCATTGTTTTTGTTGTTTATAAATGATCTACACTTTGTATCAGACCAGCTAAATTAGTTTTATTTGCTGATGACACCAATATATTTAATTTCATATTGTTATCAGGGAAAACTATGCAATATTTATGAAAGTTTAAACCGAGAACTGAGTAAAGTTTGCAAATGGTTCACTGCTAATAAACTCGTTGTTAATATGTAGGAAAAACTAATTATATGGTATTCAGGAGAAGAAAGGTAGGAGGTGACTTTAATGAATTGAATGTAAAATTTGATAATGTGTTGCTCAACAGAGTTAATTCAACTAAATTTTTAGGAGTTAATATAGATGAGTCACTTTCTTGTAAAAGTCATGATTTGCATATAAATATATATATATATATATATATATATATATATATATATCTTTTGTATGTGTTTATTGTTTTTTTTTAAATTTATTATTGTATTTTAATATTGTAATTTTAAGCAGGGGATGATCCCCGATAAACCTTTGTGGTTTTCGAGCACCCCCTCTGCAGGTTTATGTTTTGTTCTAATGCTTTTCAATTTGATTTAAATTGTATTGTCTTTTCATGACTCTGTGGAAATTAATGAAATTGAAAGTGCAATATGATGAGTCTTATCTACCAATTTCTAGTTAAAGAAGTGATCAGAATCATCTTCAGATACAAAAGTTATTTTTCCACTCTTTTTTAAAATTAATTAATTTATTTATTGTCTTAATTCTATTTTTTTAAAACAGATTATTCAGCAACATATCTTGAGGTAGGCGAATCATATTTCATCAACATGGATTCCTACGAACGACTATACAATGTAACCTTGCTACAAACAAACGCTATGAAAGGATTTCGAGTTTTTTTCCAAGATTTTCTACTCTATTCTGATGCTGAAGTCAAAATAGGGACAGGTAACGATCCGTCTGACAATCAGTCTGTCATCACAACTATCCACGGATATACAAACTACGCTCATGATGTCTATGTAGATACCAATGAGATGTGGTTTGTCGCCAAAGGAGGAAAGGATAAAACCCCTGTTGTATTGGATGTTGAGATCATTTCCATTAAGCTATCAGGTGAGTGCGTGCTAATTCTTGATTTAACTTATTTGAATATAATTTGTGTTGGATATCACTGCATCGCTCAATGTTCTTCATAATCTAGTTACACCAACAATACGACCGAATCTAGACCGACTAGGGACCAAGCAAAATAATTACATCTTTATGATTATCCCAAATGGCCAATGAAATTGATGGTATGGAGTAGGTTTGAGGATAATACGACAAACATGTTACATGAAGATACACAATGTCTCCTAATGAACCAGTAGTCAAGTCAAAGAAAACCTAGTGTAATAAATGGTGAAAATGGTGAAAGCATTATGAGCTTCCAATATTTTCCATTTTCCATCTTCTACCAGCCTTTTTTTATTGTTCGAGCTCCAACATGAGCGTGTCACCAACTGTCCTGTGCGACGGGCTTTACCAATGTGATCATTACGAGGATGAATCAGCATGCGGTAAGTCAAAGAACAACTGATCATACATTTCCGATGTGCAAAACATATTTTCTTTTTACTCAGCTTTCGTGGAAGGGGGCTTTTCGGGCAAAATTATCCGACAAAATGCACACTATTTCACAACAAGCCGCCCCCCCCCAAAAAAAAAAAAAATTCTTTCTTATACAGAAAATATATAAATGTTTCCCAATTATAAAGTTTCAGCAAAAGTATACATTTGGTAGAATTAATAAATACCTTTTGAATAATATATTTTATTTCCCCCGCTGTTTTGTCCTCTTGTCGGGTTTGGTGACCCCCCCCCCCGAACCACTGCAACATACCATAACAAGTCGGTCTTATGCACAATTCAATTGTCTGCATATGAGGACAGGCCAGTCTTCAATTTTTGTGACGAACAGACATTGTTTCGTAACACAATTGTGTCGATATGACTTAAGAAGGAAAATTCCACCATTTTTAAAGGGTCGTCTGACATTACGCAATCCCGGTAAATATTATGTCACTCATTATGTTTTGTAATGTCCAGTCATAATTCCTACTAAAGAAATTTCCTGCATGGGGTTGGGGTGAAACCGACCTGACTTTGAGCTATACGGGAGTAAATCCGACAGATAAAATACAGAAAAAGTGCATCACTCATAAAACACGTTTATATAAAAATATTACATTAAAATGTGATACGATAGAATGGATACGGATTGCTTCTCAGAGTGCATTTACAATGGTATGGTGTTTACATCGCCTCTTGAATGAAATTAAAGATGACATTGCACGTAAATCAGGCGGTAAGGTGTTCAAAATGAATGAACCTTCGTACTGGAGGGATCTTTGGAAATTGTCGCTCCTCGGGTTTTTTTTTTTTAAGAGTAGGGGGTGAGCAGCGTATCTTGTATCAATAGAAACATTTCTCGGAATGATTATCTATTTCAGATACAAAGGCAAGAGATCAATTTCGATTAAAGGCCACATGTCAGATTTTTCTTAATTTTCGTGCTATGCCTACGGAAGGTGAATTTCGTGCACAATATGAATCTACATGACATTGTTTTTATAGCAGTATCTCGCTTATTTTTGCTCTATTTTGTCTCATATTTTTAGTTGGAACAGCCCATCTATACTTGTTTCAAACAAGTATTACATGGCTAGTCAGGTGGCCTGTATATAATACATCATAAATAGTGATCTGTCAAATTATGACAGGTTCAGTGACCCAATCAAAATTTTATATCAAGTGCCTCTCCAAGTTCCTCAGTCTTGAGCCATCCGTTTCAGCGTTTCATACCCTAATGCTCCACATTCTGTGATTACATCGTCTAGAAAGCCTTTACGAGGTCTTCCCCTATTCTTCTTTCCATGAATACGACCTTCTATGACTCTGAGCATCAAGCCCTCATCATGCCGCATTATGTGTCCAAGCCATTTCGTCTGTCTCTCTCTAATCGTTTGAATCAGCACCCGCTTTTCTTGAGCCCAATGCAGCACCTCTTCATTCGAAACTCTGTCCATCCAAGTCACAGCTAGTAATTTGCGCCAGCACCACATTTCGACCGCCTCCAATCGCTGCATGTCTGTTTTAGTGAGTGTCCACGTCTCCGTCCCATTCTACAGTACACTCCATACTAGAGACTTCACAAGACGCTTTCTCAGACTAAGGTCAATATTGTGGCTCATCAGGATAGCTTGTCGTTGAATGAAGGCAGCTCTTGCCAGAGCTGAGCGCAAGTTCACCTCTTTGGCAGATTTGCCATCCTCAGTCAGCCCACTACCTAGATACTTGATGTGGTTGACTTGCAATAGTCTGTTGCCATTTATCACGATAGTTATTTCTTTTGTCTTGACTTTACTTATCATCATCACCTTCGTCTTCTTCTCGTTGATTCTCATGCCATAGCTCCTGACCACTTGGTCCACCTGTGCCATCTGTCTTTGAAGACCATCGGCAGTGACAGCGAGTGTGGCCTGATCATCAGCATTCTGTACAGACTTAATTAACACTCCTCCAACGATCACTCCTTCTTCTAACATTGCCAGAGCTTCTCATACCATTGCCTCTGCATAGATATTGAAGAGAAGAGGAGACAGAAGGCACCCCTGACGTGTTCCACGTCCAATGACGGCTGGTTCAGAGACCCATCTCCAACGCGAACGCTAGCAGTCTGAGATATGTACAAGGATGCAAGCAGTCTACGTTCTTTCCAGCCAACACCAATGGCTGACAGCACCTCCATCAACCTAGTCAAATTGGCACGATCAAATGCCTTTTCGTAGTCCACAAAACAGATATATAGGTCCTGATCATGCTGTATACATCTCTCACTAAGTATTCTCATTACAGCGATTGCTTTTCGAGTACCGACCCCTTTACGACAGCCAAATTGATCAATTCCAATATAATCTTTGGACCTCGCTTCAATCCGATGGTGGAGTACCTTTTAGCAATACTTTTGAAGCATGTGATACCAGGCTGGGGGTTTGGGGAAATGGTGTAGAAAGTGGTGTTCGAAGAAAACGATTCTGAGGCTTGTTTTAAGTTCTCTATATTAGTAGATCTTCTCCCACGTTGCCTTTTTGCAGGATTCCTGTTTTGCACAGTTTGATCTTTCCATGATTGGCTTTTGAAAAAAGGCGCGAAATTCGATTGGCGTATCGTGCAGCTAATTATAATGAAATGCTGAAAAGTGTTTGAAAAGCCCAGTGTTCGCTTACCTTACGAGAAATTCCTATTCCAAAAGTGGTCACATAAATCCAAAACAAAAAACTTCTAAAAGAACAACCCAATTTCCATATGAGAAACAAAGTCAAAGATATAATCCAAGAGTAAGGCGAGAGTGCGACCTATCCGGGTAGCATATGGTGGCATATGTATGGTAGGTATATGGACAAACCACAGCAAGGTTTTCAACCTTGACCTTGACTGATAACGTCATTTAGTCGCCATTTTGTGAAATTTTCTGATAATGAACTCATGACCATATTTTCATAACGAGTCATAAAAACTGAACCAGATGTGTAACACATGAACTTAAGGTCAAGGTTCAACAAAATATGTCATTAAAATCCGCGTGCACACCATGACGCGCACGTACGCGCCCGTCAAATTTTTGAAATGCTCAAAATCATCTCAAATTCATTTTGCATATGTTTCAGGCCATTTTGAGCGTTTTATAAAAAATCGCGCACACGCGCATGCGCGCGCGTTTTTATTCGCTTTGGCCTTATGCAACATGGAATCCAATTTTTTTTTTCTTTCATGATATTCCACATTTTTTTTACACACAATTTGATACCAATTTTATCTCTTTATGACTATTAATATAGAAACGAGCGTCCGTTTAAAATAAATGTCCGTGCGCGCGAGTTCATGTTATAAATAGCATATATGAGCAAAAACATGCTCATACAAAATCCTTATAGCTCTTTGGGAATCACCCGGACCCCCATTATTTTCTTCATATTTTGATAGAATATGAGTCGGAGATATGATATCATGTCTCATTTTGCCATTAAATATATTGTGACGTCATCATAATGGTCTTGGAACTAAAAAAAAACGAATTTGCATTTTATGACGTCAGCATATTTATGGAAAATTGATTGTATCTTTGTAAATGTTGATCGATTTTCTTCCAAATTTCGATATGTCGTAGCTAAGACAATTTTTTACATGCTCTGACAAAACTTTTGTTAATTTTGATGACGTCTTCATGGTGAAAATTTTGATTAAAGGCCACATGTTAGATATTTTTTTAATTTACATGTTATACCTCAAGAAGGTTAATTTCGTTCACTACATGAATCTACATGCAAAGTTTTTTTTAGCAGTATCTCGCTTATTTTTGGTCAATTTTGTCTCAAAATTTAGTTGGATCAGCCCACCTATACTTGTTCCAAACAAGTATTACATGTCTAGTTATTATTGTCTCACTAATTTCTGGCCCGTCCTGCATTTTCTTCCGAAATGTTATCCTCCTTTGCCTCACTCAATCCATAACCTCCCTTCTTCCATATTCCACTCTACCTCTCTCTACTTCCTCCTAAACCCGCTCTCCTTTACCACTCCTTTACCCCTCCCCTTTCCCCTCTCGTTTACACTCTCTTCACCCTCTCTCTCTCTCTTTCTCTCTCTCTTTTCGCTCCTATCTTCTTTTATCTCCTCCCCGTAATCCCAATCATCCTTTTCCCCACTCTCCTTAAACTCGTGCTTCCCCCGGCTTGGTCACCCCGTCTTCTCCCTCTCGGCAAGCTCGTAGCTAGGATTTATTTAAGGGGGCGGTAGTGAGCACGCAAATAACTTACATAGCGCCAAAGCGCGCTTCCTAGGGGTGGGGGGGGGGGGGGGGGGAGGTGGGTGGGGGGGGTGACGTTTCATTAAATTATTAGAGAAACTGGAGTCGATTTGTTGTACCGTTCTCGACTCTTAATCCTTGTCTGAATTCAATCCCCCCCCCCCTCCTCCCCCTGCCGCGCGGAACGCGTAAGCTTTGATGTTTCATTAGATTATTAGAGAAAAAAGACGATTCGTTGTACCGTTCTCGACTATTCATCCTTGTTTGAATTTTTAAAAAGTGTTTTTTGCTGCTCCTTTTTTTCTTTCTACGTACTGTTACTGTTGTCTCTTCTCTCGCTTTCTTTTTACTTCTCTTCTCTCTCTTTCTTTTTATTTCTTCTCTTCTCTCTCTTTCTTTTTGCCTTCTTCTCTTCTCTCTCTTTTTGTTTTTGGTCGACGTTTTGGGGGCGTGCAACCGCCCCACCGCCCTGACTACGCGCCTGCCTCTCGATCCAAGTCCTGTCTAATCGCCTCCACCTCTCTCTCTCTCTCCCTTCTCTATGTCTGATCAATCCTGCAGCTAGTACTTCGTCCTTCATTTCCCCCTTTTCTTTGGCTCCACATCCTGCTTATCCCCTTACTTATGTAAATCCATTCCCCTTTTCACCTTTCCCCATCTTTCCCTCACAACTCTTTGCTTTCATTTTGCCCCCTCTATGTCCCCTTTTTTCTTCTGCCCCTTCTTCCTTCCACCTCCTTTCACGTACTCTCCTCATTTTCTCAACTACCCTCTTCCTCCTCTTCCCCCTTCCTCTTCACCCCAAATGCAGCTACTATAGGACAACTTGAACCACTGAATTTACAGTCGGAACAGCTCGATCTCGTTTCCCTTCCTTGCCAGTCCTCCATTTTCTCGTCCTTTCTTCATTCCTATATCCACTCTGTTCCCCCATGTTTTCTTACTCCCTCCAACCCACCTTCTATCTCTCTTCCCTCCTCTGTTGCAACCATTTGTTGGGGTTTAATTCCCATACATTAAATTAATCTACCATTTATTGCCCCCCCCCCCCCCCAGTTGTGAAATAGCCTCCCGTCCTACATCCAAAATGCTCCATCTATATCCACGTTCAAAGTAATGTTAAAAACCCATCTGCTCAAATCCATATCATGAATCGTGTCTTCTCTAAACATGTCAAATAAATAAATGATGTCGTACTATTATTTGTTATGAAATAAGTCATTAGTTAGGTTAACTTGATTCATTCATTTATCTGTAACAAATTGTAATTTTGTAACGTAACATAGCGTAACATACTGTAATTTTGTACTGAATAATATTGTGTAATCGTGGTGCTGTCGTCCCGGCTTTTATTTCGTGTAAGGACATTGCTTCACTTAATGGCTGCTGGGACAACAGCACAACAGCGCCTAGAAACAATGTATTAAGCGCGTTATAAATGTGATCTATTATTATTATTATTATTATTATAAATATCTTTTCTTACAGATTACTCATCAACATATCTTGAGGAAGGCGAATCTTATTTTATCTACAAACCGATCTCCACCTTTAACAGCCGATCGTACAAGGTAACCTTGCTACAAACAAACGCTATGAAAGGATTTCGAGTTGTGTACCAACATTCGTCTTACTACTTTCATGGTAAGGCGATGTTAGGGACCGGTAACGACCCATCTGATAGTCAGTCTGTCATCACCATTTTCAACAAAGATACAAATTACGATCAGGATGTCTATGTAAATACCAATGAGATGTGGTTTGCTGTCATAGGAACGAAGAGTACCCTCTCGCGGTTTGACATTGATGTTGAGATCATTTCCATTGACCTATCAAGTAAGTGTTTGATTATACTTGATTTGTTTTATTTGAATATAATTTATGTTGGATATCACTGCATCGCTCAATGTACTTCATAATCTAGTTACACCAACAATAAGACCGACTCCATACCGACTAGGGACCAAACAAATAATTATTTCGTTATGATTTTCCTCAATGGCCAATGAAATTCGAAGTACGGAGTCGGTTTTAGGATAATACGACAAACAGGTTATATGACGATACGCAATGTCCTCTATTGAAGCAGTAGCCAAAGAAAACTTAGTGTAATAAATGGTGATAGTATCATATTTTCCCTTTTCTATCTCCTACCAGCCTTTTTTTATTGTTCGAGCTCCAACATAAGCGTGTCAACAACTGTCCTGTGCGATGGACTTTACCACTGCGATCATTTCGAGGATGAATTGGCATGCAGTAAGTCAAAGAACAACTGATAATATATTTCCCAAGTGCAAAACATATGTTCATCTGATTCAGATTTCTCATTGCCTTTACGATTACCTTAAAGCAGTTATTAGGTGATCTGCCGCGGAACGTAGCAGTCTAGCAGAGAACCTATTGATTTCGTTTAATAGAAACTATCTTCTTTTTTTGATTTTGTAAGAATCTCCCCCTTTCTTATTGTATGAATTTTGTTCGCTTAATATCTCATGAATGACATGGTTAATGACAATGAAATTTTCATTATAATTAATGTGCCATTTGCATGATTATTGATCCTAAAGAAGTTTTTTTTTTGTATTACTGATGCGTGACGTCATCTAGTTGCTTTTTTGTTAATTTCTATCGTTGACCATATTTCTGTCATACATTGTCATTTCTGAATAATATTTGATATGCATAAACTTGCATAAATATTTGGTCACATGCTTGTCTGTGCGCGCGTAATGGCGGACGCGGGGACTTTACTCTCTCGCAAATTACATAAATCGCTACAGTTGACAAACTCCTAGTCGTATAGTAGTAGCAAAATTTCAAGTAGCGAGTTAGATCGCTACGCTCTCCTATATAAGAGCGAAATTCAAATAGTGAGTTAGATCGCTTCAGTTGGCGCTCTTCTATAAGTACTAGTAGTAGCAAAATTCAAATAGCGAGTTTAGATCGATACGGCTGCTACGCTCTCCTACTATAAGAGCGAAATTCAGTAGTCCGGTAGAAGTTTTTCAGACCTGGACAAGTTTTTAAGTACAAGGTTTTTTTGTTGATTCGTGTTTTAGATGGGTATTGAAGTAAATTCAGCTTGGTTGCCACCTTGGCAACCTTGGGCTACTTTTGTTTATTTATAGCATAATGATGTAATTAGCATATTTGCAATACGTGATATGTTGCTGATCGTAATCAGGAAGCCTGAACACATGGATCATATGACTTTTCAAGAGTTTTCTATGACGTGGAATTTATTTATGACACCAGTTTTTGTTTTTTTAGTAAATTGCAAATAATTAGCACATGTACAATGTATGGAGTTCTTTGCCATTGTTTATCTGAAAAGCCTGAAAATGGTGCAATGCAACATGGTAAATCACTTTTTAAAGACAACACATTAATTTATGAGAAGATATTCCATGTAGATGTAATATAATTAGCCTAATTAACATAATTAGTGAATTTGAATACTTGCATTTATTGATATAGGTCTAGTCTAGCCAGAAAGATCAAGTGGTGATCATTTCAATATGTATTTTTTTTTAATGACAACCAATATTCATCTCAGAAGTCGGTCATGTTGAAACGTAAATAATTAGCCTTACTAGCATAATTAACCAAATTAGCATATTAATCAGGCAATTGCCTGATGGCCTAGCGAATTTCTGTCCAACGAGTAAGAATACAAAGGTATTCTTTTTAAGTTTCCCACTAAACAGTCATGACAGAGACCAGTCAATTATTAAAGATAGATTGAAATGGTTAGGGTCAACTGAAAGATGGTTACTGTGGTAAAGTATATTTAGTATGTTGATCATTTTTTCTTTTTTACTTCTTTGAGTTTAGGTATTGGACACAGAATTATGAGAAGTCCTTGTTGCTGTTATAGATGGACATATATTGGTACTTTCGATCTAACAGTGCTTATACTAAGATGCATAGATGATGAATTACAAAGTAACAATCCTTGCCTATTTATTTAACAAATTACCTGATTAATATGCTAATTAGGTTAATTATGCTAGTGAGGCTAATCATTTTTCATTTCAACATGAGGGACCTGTGAGATATTAGTTTTCATAACAAATATACACATAAAATTACCATTCCAGATTTTTCTGGCTAAACCCGACCTATATCAATAAATGCAAATATTCATATTTACTAATTATGTTAATTAGGCTAATTATACTACTTCTCATGAGTTGATGTGTTGTCTTTAAAAGTTGATTTACAATGTTGAATTGCACCATTTTTAGGATTTCTAGACAAAAAAAATGACAATAAAGTACTTATATTTATACATGCAGTGGCGGATCCAGAGGGGGGGGGGGGGCCGGCCCCCCCCTTCTCCCAGGGGAAAAAAACATGTAAAAAACACGTGATTTTTTACCTTTTTGGGGGTTTGGACCCCCCCCCCCTGGCGCTCAAGGGAGGGGTGCAAATTTTCGATGGCCAAAAAAACAAAATAATATAATCAATACCCCCCCCCCCCCTTACTGAGCGATTTTTCGGTCGGCGCCGTTTTTCAAATTTTCCGGTGCAAAAAAAAAAAAAAAAAGTTGGGCCCCCCTCCCCTAAGAAATCCTGGATCCGCGCCTGAGTACATGCACTGTAATGTAATTAGCTCATTATGTTTATTATGCTATTTAAGACGATTGCAATACTTACAATTAAAAAATAGTGTCATAAATGAATTCCTCGTCATAGAAAACCCTTGAAAGTCATACTACCAATATTTTCAGGCTTCCTGGATTAAGATTAGTATCATATTACACATTGCACATATATGCTAACTAAAAAAAGTTGCCCAAGGTTGCCAAGGTGGCAACCAAGCTAAATTTACTTCAATACCTATCTAGAACACGAATCAACAAAAAATTCTTGTACTTAACAACTTTTCCAGGTCATGTACATGGTATATGGTAACGTCTGCTACACTTTAGTGAGTTAGTCGTTACTGTTTGCGCTCTCCTATAAAGTAGTAGCAAAATTCAAATAACGAGTTATCGCTACGGCCGCTGCGCTCTATTAAAGGCACATTGTTCTACTTGTAGCTACTTGGTGTACCCAATCGGTACCTGTTGGTCCCCCATGATCCTCTATTTCTTATGTTAAGTAAGAGCTGAGTTAATGAGATAGCCACCTGTCACATTGACCTCCCTGGCTCGCTGGGTGATCCAATCCCTTCTGGCTGAAGTAGTAAAGCCTGCCTTTAAGAGCAAAATTTAAATAGCGAGTTAGATAGTTACTACTGGTACTTTACTCTCTCGCAAACATAAATCTCGCAAACCATAAATGGTTTATTGCTCTTATTCTTATTTATGACATTTCTAGTGCCCTCTTAGGACCTAAAAATGCCACAAAGGTAATTTTAGAAATACAATGTACTACATAACAATACAATCAGTATTGCGGAGTCATATGAGAGAATTTATTGTCTCCAAAGTTTGGAGATAATAAATAATCTCAGATGACTCCGCAATTACAAGTCCCTTCATGCTGCTTCATTGTTTGTACCTCTCCTACTGCCAATAACTCATAAACTGATCCCAACACGACATGGTTGAGAGTTAAATCAGTTACATCTTATTTACTTCCTCATAATTATGTAAAACACAAGATTAAGAGAGAACCAGCAAGAATGAGAGTCTTGGTCTAATGGTGATCAAAACTCAACTCCCTTTCCTAGGTGAGGAACTTCAGTTATCTCACAAAGTTCTAGGAGTGAAACAATGTTGGATTTGATTGGTCTATGGTCAACTGTCTATCAAGGTTGCTAAGGTATTATGTGGATTGGTAATGGAGAGTGTAAGTGACTTGGGTTGGGCCTATGAGTCATGGTTCTTAAAATGTGGTTCCTTGAATATACCTTGAATATACTTTATACCTTGAAGGCCACACCTCGCCATCTTGGTGATGAAGATCAAGTATAGACAGTGTGGTGTGACAGGGTTAAGGGGGTTCCATGGGACCCATTTTTAAAACCCAGGTTGGATAGTTGTCGTTTGAAGCTGAGAAGTGTGGGAGCATCAATGGCAGTTTGTGGCAGCTTGTTCCATTTGCTTACAACTCTCTGGCTATATAATTTTTTCCTGATGTCAAGGTGGCTTCTTGTTGTGGCTAGCTTTATGGAATGGCCTCTTGTTCTATCATAGTTAGCAAACTGAAAATAATTCTCGGGTTTGGATTTGTCGATTTGCGTCATTATTCTGTAGGTTTGCAGTAGGTCTCCTTTCTCTCTTCTTTTTTCCAAAGTAGTTAGTTTCAGTTTTGCTAATCTCTCTTCGTATGGTAGATGTTGAATACTTGAGTTTTGTGGCTCTTGCTCGAACTTTTTTCAACTTCTTTTTGACTTTTTCCAGGTAGGGACACCATGCCTGAATGGCGTAATCTAGGTGGGGTCTGACGAGTGATTTGTACAGTTTTAAGATCACTTCCTTACTCCTGAATGTAAAGTTGCATTTGATCATTCCTAGTGTCCTATTTCCTTTATTTGCTGCTGCAGCACACTGAGAGGCAACTTTCAGGGACTTGTGTACTAGAACCCCTCGATCTTTTTCTTCTGTACTTTCTTTCAGCTTGGAGTTGCCCATTGTGTATGTGTAGTGTGGGTTGTGGGTTCCAAAATGCATGACTCCACATTTGTCGGCATTGTTTATCATCTGCCATGTATTTGCCCATCTGTGAAGGTGGTTGATGGAGTTTTGCATTTCTATTCTATCATTGTCTATTTGCATTGGATGGATTAGCTTGGTGTCATCAGCAAATTTTTTAACTGTTGATTTGTCGGTTAACCCAAGTTCGAGGTCATTCATATATATCAGAAAGCACAGTGGTCCCAGGACTGATCTGTGTACTACAGAGCTGGTAGCATGTCTCCAGCAAGATTTGGCTCCCTGGGTAACAACTTTCTGCTTGCGACTGTTGTGCCAGGCTGTTATCCACTGCAATATGTTACCATCTATTCCATGGGTATTGATCTTTTTTTTTTTTACTTGTCTCTTGTGTGGGACGGTATCGGAGGCCTTTGTTAGGTCATGGTATACTACAACTTTTTGTGTATAACTGTCTACTGACTTGGTGATGATTTTCAGGTACTCTAAGCAAGTTGGTAGTTGTAGATTTCCCTTTCCTAAAACTATGCTGGGTATCCTGTATCAGACAGTGTATATTTACGTGGTCATTTATTTTGTCTTTGATAATGCTCTCTAGTACTTTACAGCTGACTGATGTTAGGATGATCGGTCGGTAGTTCTCCGGTTTGGATCTTGCTCCTTTCTTGAACATTGGAGTTATATGGGCTGACCTCCATTCCTCTGGTACATGTTCTTTAGTGATTTTCTTAGTTCTTCAGCCAGGTTTTTTTTTAGAAAGGCTGTTGGTATATCGTCTGGACCCGTTCCTTTGGATGGGTCGAGGTCTTCAAGCTTCTTTTTCACACAATCTTCAGTGATTTCTATCTCAGCAATGATCTCTTCAATAGTTCCTTTGAACACATTCTGGGGAACATTTACGTCCTCTTCAGTAAAGACTGCTGCAAAGTATTCGTTTAAGATATTTGCCGTTTGTTGGCCAGATGGGACCTACTCTCCAGTTTCTCTTTAAAGAGGTCCTACATTGTATCTGACCTTTTGTTTTGATCGAACATATGCATAGAGGCTCTTCGAATCTTCATTAATGTTTTGAGCTAGTTTCTTCTCGAAGTCACGTTTTGCCGTCTTTATTTCATGTTTGGCGTCCCTCTGGCATTTCTTGTAGTCCTCTAAGTTCTTGGTTGTCTTATCTGATTTGTACCTTTTCCAAGCTCGATGCTTTCGACGGATACTTTTCTGTGTTCCTTTTTGTGAGCCAGATAGCTTTCTTCTTTCTAGATTGCCGTTTAAATGGTACATAATTAACTGCTTCAGCTTTATTTCAATTGTGTTCCACGTTTTATCTAGTTTTCAAGTTCCTTTGCCCAATCTATTTTTTAAGTTGTGTTCTGATTTGATTAAAAGTCAGCATTTTTGTAGTCTCTCTTAGGTTGATGTACACATGGTTGGACATATAGTAGTTAGTTTCCCAACTTAACATATTATGATCACTGGTTCCAAGATGTGCGAGGACCACCACTTCATCGATCGTGTCAGGATTAGATGTGATGACAAGATCCAAAATTGAATCAAGCCTTGTAGGTTGAGTCACATGCTGACACCATAGATTGTCCTATATGACTTCGAGAAATGCACCTGATTTGCTTGAAGCACTTTGCATGTTTCCCAATCAACGTCTCTGTATTTGAAGTCGCCGACAGTCATTATATCTTTACGTTCATCATTTAAATGTGTCAAAACTCGATTCAGGCAGTCATTTTGATCATTTTAATTGTTTGGGCTCCTATACACTATGCCCAAAAGTAAGTCAAGGGCTGCATCCTTACTTGAAGTTTGTTATACTGGGTTTGAAGCAGCAACTCGCCAAGTTGGTAACCCCCAATCTGAATATTGGTTCGTCATCACTTACTCCAGTGAAGAAAGTTCAAAATCTTGGAGTTATTTTTGGTTTACTCCAATGTGACCATGGAGTCGCAAGTATCATCAAGTGTTAAACTTGCGACCAACAGTCTCCGCGATCCCCGTGCTATTCGCAAGTATCTCACCATAAAGGCGGCTGAGCAGCTTGTCCATGCATTTGTAACATCCCGCATCGATTGTTGTAACTCTTTTCAGGTTGATAATTTCATCTGTCATTCCTTTGGCATATTTCTTGCAAATACTACAATGCCATGGGATACCTTGGGTACCTTGCATTCCAAATCTTGTCACGATGTCGAATAGCTCATCTGAGAGGCCCCCGCATTTCTGATAATATAATGTTTACATACATCACAAATTGCAGCTTGCACATAGCCTACTTTTGACACAACCGTAATATCTTGGTCACATTTACCACTAATGGTTTGATGTTTTTCCTCGTAATCATGGGCGGATTCTGCTAGTGGAGCAAGGCCATTTACTTACATGTATGGGTATTAAAACTTCAGTGTTCAGTGCAAAGTCTAGGTTTAATTCTGTGGTACTCACTCAGCAAAATGTAGACTAGTCCTTGAGGCTTGAACCATACTAATAATAATAGCTAGTTCTTATAAAGCGCTTTTCAGGACCGAAGGCCCTCTCAAAGCTCTTTATATTTACAGATATATATATATTATTACACGGTCATAGGAATCAGGCTTACCCGCACACAATGCATGCACATTCTCCACTCCCTGGGGAGCATTCCAGCCAGGCGTCATTTTTACAAGCGCACACTTGCTCATCTAACCACATTAGCTTTCGCATCCTACCGCGTACCCATTTAACACCTGGATTTAGAGTGGCAACTGTGGATCAATGTCTTGCCAAAGGACATTAGTGCCGCGGTGGGACTTGAACCGGAACCTTGTGATCTAAAGTCCGGTGACATATCCATTCGTCCACGACACTATGCCCTCAGCATGTCTTTCAGCTATGGCTGATCAATAAATTAAAATTTACAAATTGTAATTTTGTAATTGTATACTTATCCAAGATGGCCTCCAAGTCAGAGCTGTTTCAAGTAGCTAACATGAAATGTGCTGCATGGGACTTTACTGAAAGTGTACATGTAGACTAGAGGTGCAAACAGTATCCATCAAAATCTTGGTTATCCTTTGCACACAAAAATCATCAAATATGTATCCTCCTGATCCTTCACTCCTTGCTTGTATCCACAATGTAGAATTCCACATTGATTTTTTTCAAAATCTTTGGTGCAAAATCTGAATTTTGTTTGGGAGATCCCAAAAGCACAGCCCCACACCCTACCACATCTATCTTGGCTGTCTTGAAGTTAACTCTCTGGGGTGTTTATAATCACAAGATAATGGGGTCAGTGTCTATGAATAATGGGGTAGGCCTACTGTCTAGTGATAATGGAGTTCTGTTTTAGATCATGAAAGTGGGGGAAGGTAAATGACTGGAAGGAAGACAGGTACATGTACTACGTAACAGTATATACTGATTAAGAACATATTATAGAGGGATACTTGTCTTCTTACCCACGGAATCTGCTTTGTTCTTTTCAATGAGTTTCAATGTCATTATCACAGCGGATTAATATCCTATCGTCCTTCGTTAAAGACTCCTGATTTTGTCATATGACGGCCATGTTTTTCACGTTGTTATGCTGTCTTGTGTTTTGTACAGAATATATAATCTTTTCGCGGTAAAATCAGATATGGATAATAAAGAGTAACTTTCTCGGGAGAGGCTACCATATTTGTCAGTGCAAGTTGACGAAGCTTCAATACCAATCTCCAGTTGACGAACTTATCGTTATTATATGTCACTTGTTTTTATTTTATTTTATTTTTCTTTTTCTTTCTTGTCTTTAATCTTTTTTTAAACAGATAATTTAGCTACATATCTGCAGAAAGGCGAATCACATTTCATCAACATACCGCTCACCCGCACCAGCCGATGGTTCAATGCAAGCTTGGTACAAACAAGTACTATGTATGGTTTTCGAATCGCGTTTCAATATATGGATCTAAGCTATGATGATGAAGTCCAAATAGGGACAGGTAATGATCCGTCTGATATACAATCTGTCACCACAACTATCCATGGAGCCATAGACTACGCTCCTGATGATGTCTATGTAGGTACCAATGAGATGTGGTTTGCTGTCATAGGAGGAAAGAGTTACTCCAGGCTTCAGGTGGAAGCTGAGATCATTCCCTTTGACTTATCAAGTGAGTGTTGGATAATTGTTCTTTTAAAATATCGATGGAATATAACGCTCCGTTCGTTGAAGCAGGAATATTCAACACAAGTCGATTGATGAACGTGAACCATGTTCCCATTTTTACCAGAAATAATAGTATTAATAAGATTAATTCTTAACGCGCCTAATTACTAAAATTAATCTAAGAAAACCTCTTGTAATTATGCAACATGAAGATGATATACCGCCCCGTCCTGTTTGTTTACAGACCGGATCTCATTTCAGCCGGGTCCGGGAATCGTCTTGAACTTGAAACAGGAGATTGAGTTATGTGATTTCGTGCATGCGCAGGCCGATATTTCGCTCGGCTTACCCTTCTTTTAACTTCCGTGGGCTTAGCGTCCTCTTTTCCTTTCGTCTTGTTCTCGAAAGCTTCCGAATGCATAGAGCCCACACGTTCATTCCCTTCTTATCAATATTGATGGGGGGTTGTTTGTCCGGACGCTTAACAAAAATAAAGCCCTCACTTTTGCCTTAGTATTTAACGAAATGTATGCATCAATATCGTCTTTCGTCTTTCATCGTCTTTTAATTTTCTTTCATAATATTGGCTAAAATATGTTACACATTTTTAATAAAATATTGCACGTGTAGGTATTCGAGGTATGAATTCCAAACAATAAATATTAAGAATATAAGCTCACCAAATAAAAACTCCTCCTCTGCGAAACACATGCGATGAAACTTGTTACAATGTGTAATGATATCCAAATGAATTAAATCGATATGACAAGTCCTCTTGATGATAAGTGCAGCTGAATAAACCTAATGTAGTATACAGTTGCATGTAACTAGCAGAAATTGTCTTGCTTCCCAGAGTCAAGTCCTTCTACTAAGATGATGCACAAGGAAAACAAATCTACTTACTTGTGTCATGACCCCCCCCCCCCCCCCCGCAAAAATCTACCTCTGGAAAAATGCAAACATGGATGAAATCAGAGAGGAGCTGGAAAGCTTTGCAGAGACACACCTATCTCAGATGTCACTAGAGACTCCAGTTGAAACCCAGTGGTCACAGATAAAAAGCAAGATCCTATCTGTTGTTGAGAACCAAGTCCCATCTAAGATGACGACATGTATATTTAGCCAACCCTGGATTACGGCTAACTTGAAACGACTCTCGAGGAAGAAGAAAAGGGCGTTTAGAAGATCAAGATCAGCTGTTGACAACAGCCAGCCTGACGTTACACGGTACAAAGAAGTGAAGAAAACCATGCAAAGGGAATGCCGCAAAGCCTACCAGACATACATCTCAGATCTGATCTGTGGTGAGGAGCCTAGTGGTGGTTAACGATTCTGGACGTACATCAAGAACAAGCGATGTGATAACACTGGAGTACCCCTCCTTCTGAAAGATGGGATTTTCCACTGTGACAGCCAACCAAAGGCAGTTCTCCTTAATGATCAGTTTTCATCTGTTTTTACCAAAGAAGATCTGAACAGTGTTCCTGATCTAGAGGCTAGCGCACACCCAACCATTTGCAACAATGAAATCGGGTCTGAAGACCGGTGTTTGGAAACTGCTGTCAAAGATCATCCCACACAAAGCATCAGGACCTGACAACCTTCCTGCACGCCTCCTCAAAGAGTGTTCGACAGAACTTGCGCCTGTCCTTTCACTGCTGTACCAGTCAACACTACATCAGGGCTGAATCCCTATTCCCTACCGACTGAAATTCAGCTTTTGTAACACCAATCTACAAGAAAGGTAACAGACATGAAGCTTGTAACTACCGACCCGTTTCCCTAACTTCTCTAAACTGTAAGGCCCGTATTCTGAAGTCAGGTTTAACTTTAAACCTAGGTTTAAGTCTAGTCTAAGCCTCGCCTAACTCTCAGATTTAAACCTAGGTTTAATTTTGCGTTTCTGAAGTCAGGTTGAACTTAAACCTAGGTTTAAGCCTGGTCTAACTCTGTGGAAATTGTACACGTCTATTTAAACCTGGGGGTACACCTAGTTTAAGTCTGGCTTAAGTCAGGTCTAACTATTTGTTGGAAATTCAGAGGAGAAGAAGACACCATTAAAAGGCATTACGACGAATTATTGCAAATAATGAGACCGGAGAGACCTCTTGTGGAAAGAAAAGAACCTTTCATAATTATTGCGACGATGATTTTTTTTGCATCGCTGTTGTTTTTTAAATAGGCCTACCAAACAAACAGCGATTTGCACTGACTCCAACAGTACAAGGCGACACACACATCGCTTGCGGATGAAAGTGGGCTTTGCGATTTAATGCCTTCGGCAAGTTTGAACATTAATTTGGATACTTCATTTGCTTATTGAATCTTTATGCCTAATATTTTCTAAGTCTTAAGATTTTATATTTTATATAAGATTGTGTGATTTGTATAGTACGACAATACTTGAAACTAAAAAGTTGCCAAAGTAAATCGACAACACGTATCACTTTGTTGCAGAGGAAAACAAATATAGTAGCCCCATACCTTTAGTTTGACGTTATGCTCACGTAGTTTTGAAACTGAGTGCAATGCACATTTTTGAATTGCGTCCCAACGATGTAAACAAATGCGACTGCGAGTTAAAATAAAACTGTACTGTCTGTAGGCCTAAGGTTGAATTAGAGTTAAGAGTAAATTAATGAAGAGCTAAATCTATATTTATAAGACAATCATGGATTAGCATAATTAAGAGCCAACGAGTGTGTTAAGCCGGAACTCTAGACCTAGTAGAGTTTTGGGTAGAATCTAATCCTACAATTTCTGCCCTAGATCTAGTCTAGACTCTAGACCGATTTAATAGGCGCGCCTAGTCTATTATTAATATTATGATGTCAAAACATCCTAAAGATGCCCCGAAAGATGCACTAGAGGTCTAGATCTAGATCTAGATATCTAGATCTAGACCTAAATAAGATTAAAATGACTTAAAGAGAAATGATCACAAATACCTTCTTGATGCAGAATAACTAGTCCAAAGTCAACATTGAAGCTCATATAATATGGTCGAATTTCGAGCGTTTTTTTTAGGACAATGCAATATTTCTAAACTGTGTGTACTTGAACGAATGAATGCGCGCTCGCACGATCGATGATATGCGCGCACGGTGCAGAAGGAGATCATGATACCCGAGGTATCCGATACCCGACACGTCGGTTCGAAAAAGGATTCCATTGTCCTAAAAAAAAACTAAAAATCAAACAAATGAGCTTCTGCAATGTTGACTTTGGACTAGTTATTTTGCATCAAGAAGGTATTTTTGATCATTTTTAGTTTCTCTTTTAGTCATTTAAATCTTATTTAGAGCATTTTTATGATGTTCTGGAAGTTTTGACCAATCTGGGCATACAGAAATTGTAGAATCCTGATTTTTGTATTATTTATTTATTCGTAAAGAACAATTCCACCTCGATTCAGACTTTTTCAGCAGTTTAACAATAAATCAAAGGGTAAAACAAAACAAAAAAATCAGGTCATAACGTTCAATGGTTGCTTCGAAAGAGATTTGTTTGTGTCGAATATTTTAAATTGAAGTTATTAAATTTGCAGCACGAAATCCAGCTATAAAAAAGCCTATATCAGCTACCCTTGAAGATGGATGAGCTGTACTGAGCATGTGCAGTAGAAGCAGACTGCATCTCCATGGTAGTTAAACCTTGGCTTAACTTTAAACCTGGGTTTTAGACTTAAACCTGGGTCTAACTAAACCTGGCTTTCAGAAACTGAAATGATACTTAGACCTGAAGTCTGGCTTAGTTAAACCCGGGTTTAAAGTTAAACCTAGGTTTAACTAAACCTGATTTCAGAATACGGGCCTAAGACTTTGGAGCACATCATAAAATTCTCAGAGATCATGAACCACCTGGAATCTAACGGCATTCTATCCGAAAAGCAGCATGGATTCCGTAAACACCATTCATGTGAATCCCAGCTGCTGTTAACTATCAATGACCTTGGCAAAGGACTGGACAATAAGCAGCAGATCGATGCAGTGCTGTTAGATTTTTCAAAGGCATTTGAAAAAGTACCACATGAAAGACTCCTGAGCAAACTAGCCTATTATGGTGTCCAGGGTAACCTCCTCTGTTGGATCAGAGTATTTAGATCGTGTACAACAGGTTGTACTGGATGGAACAAGTTCTATTCCGGCAGGTGTGACCTCGGGCGTATCACAAGGGATTGTCCTGGCCCCCTTCTCTTCTTTGCTTACATCAAAGATCTGCCAGACTGTGTCCGTTCAGAAGCTCGGATGTTTACAGATGATTGTCTACTATACCGACACATCAACTCACAAGCCGACGCAGACACACTCCTCCAAGAAGATCTTAACCACCTGCCAGACTGGGAAACCAAGTGGCATGTGTCTTTTAACCCAAGCAAGTGTGAAGTCCTCAGAGTGACCAACAAGGTGAAAAATGTCATCCGTTCACCTTACTTACTCCATGGAGTTTACTGTAGACAATGCCAAATACCTTGGAGTACACATCAACTGCAAGCTAAGCTGGAAGACACATGTAGACAACACATGCAAGCAGGCCAACAGCACACAAGGGTTCCTTCAGAGAAATCTGCATGGCTGCCCCAAGAAAATTAAGGAACAAGCCTTCATGACATATGTACGCCCCATTCTTGACTATGCCTCAACAGCTTGGGACCCTCACTGCCAAGACCAAATTCGAAAACTCGAAATGGTTCAGAGGCGAGTTGCTCGGTTCACTCTAGGAGACCATCACCCAAGACACAGTGTTTATACCGAAATGCTCTCCGAAAGAAGAGCTCATCTGAAAGTTACCATGCTATATCGTATCTTGCATGGATTAATTGCCATTCCTCCTGAACCACCCTACATCCCAGTATTACGATCATCTGGAAGACGACAAGCTCAATACCGACATCAACTCTGCAGGACCTCTGGGTATCAAAACTCCTTCTTCCCCAGTGCCATCTGCTTATGGAACCAGCTCCCTACAACTGTGACAGCAGCTTCTTCTCTGGAACAGTACAAGAGGCAGCTGGTTGGGGTGACTCTGCGTCAAAACTAGCTGGAGAAGGAGTTATTTTTACTTGCACAATGAACACTTTTTAGTTTTTACTACTAAATTCTAAAACCGTTTGGGACCTCTTTTTTGGAGGCTCACACAATGCAGCATGGCACACTCGTTCACATCACTACACAACACTACGAAAATACTCTACCGAGGACTGTACTTGCCCTGGAAGAAGAAGAAGAAGGAAAGAGAGAGAGAAAGAGAGAGAGAGAGAGAGAAAGAAGGGAAAGGGAAGGGAAAGAGGAGAGAAAGGGAAAGAAAGAAGTGGAAGAAGAAAAGAAAAGGGGGAAAGAAGGAGATCGGGGAGGTGGGGCCGAAAGGGCCTTGCCTCCCAATCTGTTGCCTCCCCCCCCCCTCCCCCTCCCCCATCACAAAAATAAGAGAGAAGGAAGCAAAGGGAAAGAAAAAAGAAAAGGAGGAGATAAAGGGAAGGAAATAAGAGGAAGAAGAAAAGAAAAGAAGGGGGTGTAAAGGTGGTCTTTGCCCCCCCCCCCCCGCCCCTGCCAAAAAAAGAGAAGGAAGGGAAAGGGAATGAGAAGCTGAACCAAAAAAAAAAAAGGAAGAAGAAAAGAAAAGGGTGAAAAGAAGGGAGATCAGTTAGGAATAATCCGGCCAACAACGTGTGGATTGGGGGGGGGCGAAAGGCGCTTGCCTCTCCTCCCAGCAAACTTAAAAGAGAGAGAAGGAAGGGAAGGGAAAGGGAAAGAGAAGGGAAAGCGAAAGAAGTAAGGTAGGGGAAATCATTCGAGATTTTCCCGCCAACAAGGTGTAATATTTTTTTTTTGGTTTTTTTTTTTTTTTTTGGGGGGGGGGGGGGGGGGTGGGGAGGGGGTGGGCATTTGCCCCTCCCCCAATGAAATTCGATACCGGTGATTTACAAATGTTGCTGAAATGACGTCATTTTCCGAGATTTTTCCTCAAGTTTTTAGTAAATTATACTTTTTTATGTGTTTGTTGGAAAATGACAAATTCCAAAAATTCACAGTCAGGCAAGAAATATGCTTGTTTAGAGGCCTACATGTCAGGGTCAGCGTCATGGCGGGGCTCGGTGGCCTCGACCCCCCCCCCCCCCCACACACACACTTTTTTGGAGAAAAAAATTTTTAAAGGAAAAGAGAAAGAAAGTAAAAAAGAATAGTGACCTGATAGTAAAATAATGAGGTATCAAAATATGCACATCTGACCGTGATTAAATGCCTAAAACCCTTGACCTTCCATGGGCGCTGTCCCCTGGATTCCACATAGGGACCTAAGGCGGGCCACTGGATGCTGATTTGACGGTAATTTAATGCCTACAACCCCTAAGCTTCTCGGGGCTCCGCCCCCTGGACCCTAAGCAAATTAGTGTCCTGCCAGTGTTACAAATAAGGTATTAAAAAATGCTCATCTGACTGTAATTAAACGCCTAAAACCCCTGAGCTTCCGGGGGTTGTGCCCCCTTGAGCCAACCAAGGGCCCTAAGGCGGGCCCCTGTATACTCTTCTGACTGTAATTTAATGCGTAAGACCCTTGAGCTTCCGGGGGCTCGGCCCACTGCACCCCACACCGATTAGTATCCTGCCAATATCACAAATAAGGTATCAAAAAATGCTCATCTGACCGTAATTAAACTCCTTAAACCCCTGAGCTTCCGGGGGCTCTGCCCCCTGAACCCAACAAATGGCTCTAAGGCGGGCCCCTAGATGTTCATCTGACCGTAATTTATTGCATAAAACCCCTGAGCTTCCAGGGCTCCGCCCCCTCCGCCCCAGCTAGGGCCCTAATGTGGGCCCCTAGATGCTATTTTTTTGACGGTTATTTTAATATATTAAAGCCCTGAGCTTCTGCGGGCTCCGCCCCCTGGACCCCACGCCAATTAATGTCCCGCCAGTGTCACAAATAAGGTATCAAAAGATGCCCAACTGACTGTAATTAAATGCCTACAAATCAAGAGCATTCGGGGGCTTCGCCCCCTCGACCCCACCAGGGGGCCTGAGACAGGCCCCTGAATGCTTATCTGAGTGTTAAAAAATCCCTCAAATCCTTGGGTTTTAGGGGGCTCAGCCTCCGGGACCTCGCACCAATTAGTGACCTGCCAGCGTCATGAATAAGGTATCAAAATATGTTCATCTGACCGTAATTAAATGCCCATACCCCCCTGAGCTTTCGGGGCTTTGCCCCTAGACCCCGCGCCAATTACCCTACGCTCTACCTGATCGTAAACACTTAAGCCTCCCCTCATCCACTTTGAAAAAAGTTCAGAGGGGCCTGCATGTAAGAGTGGGGTGATGCGGATTTTTTTGTCTACCCCCCCCCCCCCCCCCCCCCCCCCCAAAAAAATTGTTATCATTACGCCACTGCTGGTCACCATTACGTACCAATATTTGGCTCGCATAATTTCAAATTTGCCCCCCCCCCCCCTAAGAAATCCTGGATCCGCTCCTGGTTGCCATGACACAACAACATCTACTAGGGTACAGTAGATAGATAGAATTTTTTATTGATCCATATTCAAAACATAGAAAATTGGCCTCCACTGGCAGCACGTAAGCAAAATGCAACGTAGTTACAAGATAATTAATAAACACTTAGGTGTTTACGTCACATAATGTACAAATTCACACGAGAGTCATGACATTAAAAAGTTACGTAATAATAGGGAAAACCTAAGAAAGGAGTCGACATTTAAAGATTGAGAAGAGAGAAAGAGGTCGAAAGGAGACCAGATTGAAGAGCGAAATAGTAAGAAGAGAGAGAGGGGAGAGAGAGAAATGGAGGGGAGAGATTTAGAGAGAGAGAGAGAGAAGGGGGGGAGAAAGAACAATACTGGACACGGTGGAGGAGGGAAAGGAGAGGGGAGGATATAAATAGAGGGAGGGGGATAGAAAAAGGAAAAGGAAGGGGGACAAATTGTAAGCGACACATATAGATAAATTGTTTACTGTGTATTTAAAAAGTAATATTATAGTTATTGTTTTGTTACTTTGTTTAATTGAACTCAAGATCAATCCAAAAATTAAAATTTCGTGCACATATTATTAAGTGCTTTTCATTTTTCTTATAAAGTTGTTCTTAAACCACCGTGTATAATTCTGCTGCAATAACATAATTTAGCTCAACTTTAATTTAAAATGTAATGTGGAAACTCAACCGTTATAAGACTTTGTGTATGCTCATAGGCATTATACATCACCTCATATGAAATGCTTTAATGATATATTTTTAATGTAATAATTCCATTCAACATAATTTGACCTTACCTGTCACACAACTGACACACCTGCATGTATACTTTTTCAGTCTATCGATCTCATTTTAACAATTGCAATATAATAGTTTCCCCTCTCTCTCTCTCTCTATATATATGTATATATTTTTGTTTTAATGATTTGTTGGTATTTAAAGATTATTTTTACTTGCAATAATTGGTTCAATATTTCAAGTAACTGTTATAGGTTGCGTTTATCTAGGAAATTTTTGGCTAGAATCAGGTTTCTCAAACGTCTTTCAGGCAAATTTAGAAGTAGATAAACGCAAAGCCTTTTTCAAACGTCTTTAGATATGGGCATATCAAAAGACGCAAAAAGGTGCGTTTTGTATGTGACATACAGCCAGAATCACGTTTCTGAGAGGTCGATAAACGCAAAGCTGTTTTGAACGTCACATACAAATAGGACCACACAGGTGTTGTGTACAAGCATGTGTGTGAATTTGACCTCCGAGAAACTGTCTGCTTCCCGGGTCAAAACAGCTGGGCAGACACAAGGCCTTTATTTTGAATCGTGAAGAGTAGATAAACGCGACATCCCGCAAATCACGATCATATAGTGGGGTATGATAGTGGGGTTCGATAGTGGGGTATGATATGTACATATCTAGTGGCAAGCCTAGATAAACGCGCTCATAGGTTGTTCATCCATCTATTATCATTTATTTATATATGTATATAACTTTCGGTATGAACAATAATGTTAACTTTATCTTTTATCATTTTTATTGTACATTTATATGATCATTCCTGTTTTATGCACATTTTATGTAAACATGGCATTATTGGTCCCTGGACTACTGCATTGTACATTGTATATGTTGATATTAATAAACCGAAATTGAATTAAATTGAATTGAATAGACCAGTTTCGCAACGTGTCCACGTCGGATGCGCAGGTCCCCGCGAAGCGCCATGACACGGCTGACTCCACCCACCCGCCAGGAACAATCGTATCCCAACAGGCAGAATGTGAATTGTAGCCGCTACCAGGCTGGCAATACATTAGAGCTCGCCCAACCTAGCAACAACCAATGCACGCAACTCACACCCCGCCCACCGAAACACAACCACTCCCAACAGGCGAATGGAGCCACCCGCATCCAGGCACCCCGACAAAGACCCACGCACCCAACCCAAACACCCTACTGAAACCGGTCCATTAGGCCTAACAAAAAAAAAACATCATTTGGTTGTCCTCCATCGCTTTTCTGGAGTAGGGGCGGGCGGGCGGATTTTTTTTTTTTTTTTTTTTTTTTCTTCTTCTTCTCCATTTAAAAAAAAAAAAAATTAAATTTGTTTTCCATTCAAAAAAATAAATCATTGGGATGTTAAGTATTTAAACAAACAAATTCTATAAAACACTGTAATATAGTAAAAGTCTAGTTTAATGTACAATGAATATCAAGACCAACACAGAAAGTATTTTTGGCTTTGAAAAACAGCACCTTTTAAATCTCCATTGTACTACTTATAGCTACTTGCGCCCTCTATGTAGCAAACAATGCCTAATCGGTGACCATTGGTCCCCCATTATCCTTTTTATCTTATATTAACTGAGAGCTGATTTGATGAGAGAACCACCTGTCCAGTCACCTTGCACGGTGGTCTAATCCCTCCTATAAACTAGCACAGATGGGCTTTAAAATGAGTTTAAGAATGCTCAGAACCTGATTTGAATGAACAGCATTTTGACATAGAAATATAAAAATAGCAAGTTTAATAAATACCTAATTGCGTACTGAAAAGTCCAAACTGGCAACGTCCCGCATTTTGATTCTTGCAAATGCATAAAATGGTATTGCTCCCCCCCCCCCCAAAAAAAAAAAAAAGATAATAAATAAAAATTAAAAAATTAAAAATTAAAAAATTAAAAATAAAATACAAATTTGAAGAAAAGAAAAGGAAAAAAAAATGAAGACAAAAAAATGGAGAAAAAAAATACGAGCGGCCCGAAAATGACGAGCGGGCGGTCGAGGACAACCAAATGATTTTTTTTTTTGGGGGGGGGGGGGGGGGGGGGGGGGGGGGGGGCTTTATGTGGCACATTTAAACAAAAACGGCTTTATAAATACTAATAATTATGCGTAACAGAGCAGAGACAAGATTAAGCAGGAGGTCAATTGGCAGGTGTTAGAATTACATGGAAAATATATAATTGGCTGGCAAAGGGATTGTTAAAGGGTCGATTCGTCACCAATAGGGTCATCGTGTATCGTCTAACATTAGCATTAAACATATGAATAACATTCGGTACAAAGGATTTTCTGTAACGACAGCGGTATCTCTTGGGTACGCGTAGGCGAATACCTGAACGATTAAATCAAAAGAAATGATGTAATGGATGTGATGAGTCATTCATTATTGTATGAACTTTAAGTAACCATGGACCTATTACGGATGGACATTAGACGTGATTCTTTAGTTTGATCCAATGATAGTCACCGCCTTCTGATAATGTGCATCTTAATTAGAACATTCAGCAGAGTTGTAACTTACAACCGCTTCCCTCGAAAAAAGAGACATATACAGATTGGGATAAACCTACCTACTTTTTTGATTTGTCAATCTTTGATATAAAATTCTTAAATTGTCTGTCCATCACCTAATATTACTTTGATATTTCGCTCATTCATATATGTCAAAGTGTACGGTAAAGATTCGTCGTGAATTTAAGGATATTTTCTCTACTCTGTGCAGTTGACTGTTCTGGTAGCAACCCATGTCAGAACGGAGGTACCTGTGAGGACAATGCATGTACATGTGTCGCGGGTTTTAATGGAGTTGTTTGTAGTACAGGTATGACAATTAATTGTCACATACACTGTCGCTCATAACGTTGGAATATTTGTTATACTCAATTTATGGAATTATTTTCACAATGATTTATTCCTAATAGATCTAGATTATAGGATACATTCTCAGGAATGGAACGGAATGTAGAGCCATTTTATTGCTTTGAAACGATTTCCATTCGCTTAAAATGTAATTAAATTGTAATAATATAGTTGGGAGAATTAAGGAATCGATCAGTTTTTCTCAATTTGTACCATGAATAATGGTCCGTTTTCACTCAATTTTTTAGATTATCTTTAATTGTACATCTAGCATTGGAGTCACTACCTTAGCACCACTATCTCTTATCTAAACAAATATTACCAAGTCCCTTTAAGGGCGTACGTTCCCTAGTTGATAAGCATATTAGCATATACATGCTTTAGTAGTCACGCAAAACAAACACTGGCAATTTATTATTCAATAAAATCTGAGAATGTAAACTATTATCTAGATCTATAAGGAATAGATCATAGTCTAAATAATTTCATAAATTGGGGTTTAAAAAAATATTCCAACGTTGTGAGCGATAGTGTATTTTAAGTGCTATTGGGATTCATCGTATACGTCAAATATTATATTGGTTAAAAGGAAGTTAATAGTTAATTAATGATAACAAGATTAATACCATGATCCCGTCATATCACGCCTCGAATCTTTCTGTCTATTTTTAACATCAACATTTTAACATTCAACCGCCCCCCCCCCCCGAAAAAAGAGTGATAAAAAGACAAGAGGGGAAACCTTACGTACTTTGTAATCTGACATTATTTAATACTTCATTAGTAATTGTAATTGTAATTATTTTGATATTTTATTCTTGTCATTAATGTTATTCCAAGTGAACGGTGAGTGTAAAAGATTCATCATAAATTTGAATATATTTTCTCTATTCTCTGTAGTTGACTGTTCTGGGAGCAACCCATGTCGGAACGGAGGTACCTGTAAGAACAATGCATGTAAATGTGCTGCAAGATTTAATGGAGCTTTGTGTAGTACAGGTATGGACATTTATTGTAAAATTATGTTAAGTGCTATCGGAATTCATCGTTTACGTCAAATGTTGTTTTGGTTTTAAAGACATTTATGGTTACTCAATAATAACAAGATTCATGCCATGATACCGTCATATCGTGCCTCGAAACTTTTTATCTATTTCTACATCAACATTATAACATTCAACCTTCCTCCGCACCCCCCCCCCCGAAAAAAGAGTGGCATAAAGATGGGGGAATCATACGTAGTTTGTAATTTAAAATTCTTTAATACAGCACTCTTTAAATTTGTGTTCATCACTCTATATTATTTTGATAGTTTATTATTGGCCGTAATGTATGTCCACGTAAACGGTGAATGTTTGGATTCGTCATGAATTTATAGATATTTTCTCTATTTTTTGTAGTTGCCTGTTCTAGGTGGGAACCATGTCGGAACGGAGGTACCTGTGAGAACAATGCATGTACATGTGCTGCGGGATTTGATGGAGATTTGTGTAGTACAGGTATGGACATTTATTGTCACATATGCCATTGCTTTCGGGAGTCATCGTATACGTCAAATATTTCTTTTGGTTTGAAGGAAATTAATTTTTTTAAATGATAACAAGAGTTATGCCATGATATCATCTAATCGGCCATTTACCTTTTTATTTATTTGACATAAACACTATAACATTCAACCCCGCCCCCTTTCCCCTCCTCCCGAAAAAAAGAGTATTATAAAGAAGTTGGGAATTCTACGTACCATGTAATTTGACATTCTTTAATACATCATTCTTAAAATTTGTGTTCATCACCCAATATTATTTATATATATTATTGTTGGGTTTACTGTATATCCATGTGAACGGTTGAGTGCTAAGATTCATAAGGGACTTGGTTTAAAGGAAATTAATTGTTAATCAATGATAACAAGATTCATGCCATGATATCGAAATATCGCGCCTTGAACCTTTTTTATTTTTTCGACATCAACATAATAACATTCACCCTTCCCCTCCTTCCCCCAAAAGAGTGGTATAAAAACGGGGGGGGGGGCATCCTACGTACCATGTCATTTGAAATTCTTCGATACATCATTTTTAAAATTTGTGTTCATCACCCAATATTATTTTGATATTTTATCCTCGCCATTCACGTTTTAGCACGTGAAGGGTGAGTGTTAAGATTCGTCATGAATTTAAAGATATTTTCTCTATTCTGTGTAGTTGACTGTTCTGGGAGCAACCCATGTCGGAACGGAGGTACCTGTGAGAACAATGCATGTACATGTGCTGCGGGATTCGATGGCGCTTTGTGTGGTACAGGTATGGACATTTATTGTAACATACACTGTTGCTCAAAGTTAGATTTTTGTTTACCCCAATTTATGGAATTATTTTGACAATGATTTATTCCTAATAGATCTAGATAATAGTATACATTCTCAGGAATGGAATGGAATTTAGAGCCATTTTATTGCTTTGAAACGATTTCCATTCACTTAAAATGTAATTAAATTGTAATAATATAGTTGGGAGAATTAAGGAATCGATCAGTTTTTCTCAATTTGTACCATGAATAATGGTCCGTTTTCACTCAAATTTTCAGATTATCTTTAATTGTACATCTAGCATTGGAGTCACTACCTTAGCACCACTATCTCTTATCTAAAAAAATATTACCAAGTCCCTTTAAGGGCTCACGTTCCCTAGTTGATAAGCATATTAGCATACACATGCTTTAGTAATCACGAAAAACAAACACTGGCAATTTATTATTCAATAAAATCTGAGAAAGTAAACTATTATCTAGATCTATTAGGAATAGATCATAGTCAAAATAATTTCATAAATTGGGGTTTAAAAAAATATTCCAACGTTGTGAGCGATAGTGTATTTTAAGTGCTATCGGGATTCGTCATATACGTCAAATATTATTTTGGTTAAAAGGAAGTTAATAGTTAATTAATGATAACAAGATTAATACCATGATCCCGTCATATCACGTCTCGAATCTTTCTGTCTATTTTTAACATCAACATTTTAACATTCAACCGCCCCCCTCCGAAAAAAGAGTGATAAAAAGATAAGAGGGGAAACCTTACGTACTTTGTAATCTGACATTATTTAATGCTTCATTAGTAATTGTAATTGTAATTATTTTGATATTTTATTCTTGTCATTAATGTAATTCCAAGTGAACGGTGAGTGTAAAGGTTCATCATAAATTTGAATATACTTTCTCTATTCTGTGTAGTTGACTGTTCTGGGAGCAACCCATGTCGGAACGGAGGTACCTGTAAGAACAATGCATGTAAATGTCCTGCAAGATTTAATGGAGCTTTGTGTAGTACAGGTATGGACATTTATTGTAAAATTATGTTAAGTGCTATCGGAATTCATCGTATACGTCAAATGTTGTTTGGGTTTTAAAGAAATTTATGGTTGCTCAATAATAACAAGATTAATGCCATGATACGGTCATATCGTGCCTCGAAACTTTTTATCTATTTCTACATCAACATTATAACATTCAACCTTCCTCCGCCCCCCCCCCCCCCGAAAAAAGAGTGGCATAAAGACGGGGGAATCATACGTACTTTGTAATTTAAAATTCTTTAATACAGCACTCTTTAAATTTGTGTTCATCACTCTATATTATTTTGATAGTTTATTATTGGCCGTAATGTATGTCCACGTAAACGGTGAATGTTTAGATTCGTCATGAATTTATAGATATTTTCTCTATTTTTTTGTAGTTGCCTGTTCTAGGAGACACCCATGTCGGAACGGAGGTACCTGTGAGAACAATGCATGTACATGTGCTGCGGGATTTGATGGAGCTTTGTGTGGTACAGGTATGGACATTTATTGTAACATACACTGTTGCTCATAAAGTTAGATTTTTGTTTACCCCAATTTATGGAATTATTTTGACAATGATTTATTCCTAATAGATCTAGATAATAGTATACATTCTCAGGAATGGAATGGAATGTAGAGCCATTTTATTGCTTTGAAACGATTTCCATTCACTTAAAATGTAATTAAATTGTAATAATATAGTTGGGAGAATTAAGGAATCGATCAGTTTTTCTCAATTTGTACCATGAATAATGGTCCGTTTTCACTCAAATTTTCAGATTATCTCTAATTGTACATCTAGCATTGGAGTCACTACCTTAGCACCACTATCTCTTATCTAAAAAAATATTACCAAGTCCCTTTAAGGGCGTACGTTCCCTAGTTGATAAGCATGTTAGCATACACATGCTTTAGTAGTCACGCAAAACAAACACTGGCAATTTATTATTCAATAAAATCTGAGAATGTAAACTATTATCTAGATCTATAAGGAATAGATCATAGTCAAAATAATTTCATAAATTGGGGTTTAAAAAAATATTCCAACGTTGTGAGCGATAGTGTATTTTACGTGCTATCGGGATTCATCGTATACGTCAAATATTATATTGGTTAAAAGGAAGTTAATAGTTAATTAATGATAACAAGATTAATACCATGGTCCCGTCATATCACGCCTCGAATCTTTCTGTCTATTTTTAACATCAACATTTTAACATTCAACCGCCCCCCCCCCCCGAAAAAAGAGTGATAAAAAGACAAGAGGGGAAACCTTACGTACTTTGTAATCTGACATTATTTAATGCTTCATTAGCAATTGTAATTGTAATTATTTTGATATTTTATTCTTGTCATTAATGTAATTCAAAGTGAACGGTGAGTGTAAAGATTCATCATAAATTTGAATATATTTTCTCTATTCTCTGTAGTTGACTGTTCTGGGAGCAACCCATGTCGGAACGGAGGTACCTGTAAGAACAATGCATGTAAATGTCCTGCAAGATTTAATGGAGCTTTGTGTAGTACAGGTATGGACATTTATTGTAAAATTATGTTAAGTGCTATCGGAATTCATCGTATACGTCAAATGTTGTTTGGGTTTTAAAGAAATTTATGGTTACTCAATAATAACAAGATTAATGCCATGATACCGTCATATCGTGCCTCGAAACTTTTTATCTATTTCTACATCAACATTATAACATTCAACCTTCCTCCGCCCCCCCCCCCCCCGAAAAAAGAGTGGCATAAAGACGGGGGAATCATACGTACTTTGTAATTTAAAATTCTTTAATACAGCACTCTTTAAATTTGTGTTCATCACTCTATATTATTTTGATAGTTTATTATTGGCCGTAATGTATGTCCACGTAAACGGTGAATGTTTAGATTCGTCATGAATTTATAGATATTTTCTCTATTTTTTTGTAGTTGCCTGTTCTAGGAGACACCCATGTCGGAACGGAGGTACCTGTAAGAAAAAAGCATGTAAATGTGCTGCGGGATTTAATGGAGATTTGTGTAGTACAGGTATGGACATTTATTGTCACATATGCTTTCGGGAGTCTTCGTATACGTCAAATATTTGTTTTGGTTTGAAGGAAATTAATGCTTTTTAAATGATAACAAGAGTTATGCCATGATATCATCTAATCGGCCATTTACCTTTTTATTTATTTGACATAAACACTATAACATTCAACCCCGCCCCCTTTCCCCTCCTCCCGAAAAAAGAGTATTATAAAGAAGTTGGTAATTCTACGTACCATGTAATTTGACATTCTTTAATACATCATTCTTAAAATTTGTGTTCATCACCCAATATTATTTTGATATTTTATCCTCGTCATTCACGTTTTAGCACGTGAAGGGTGAGTGTTAAGATTCGTCATGAATTTAAAGATATTTTCTCTATTCTGTGTAGTTGACTGTTCTGGGAGCAACCCATGTCGGAACGGAGGTACCTGTGAGAACAATGCATGTACATGTGCTGCGGGATTTGATGGAGCTTTGTGTAGTACAGGTATGGACATTTATTGTCACATATGCCATTGCTTTCGGGAGTCATCGTATACGTCAAATATTTCTTTTGGTTTGAAGGAAATTAATGCTTTTTAAATGATAACAAGAGTTATGCCATGATATCATCTAATCGGCCATTTACCTTTTTATTTATTTGACATAAATACTATTACATGAACCCCCCCCCCCCTCCCGAAAAAAAGATTATTATAAAGAAGTTGGGAATTCTACATACCATGTAATTTGACATTCTTTAATATATCATTCTTCAAAATTGTGTTTATCGCCCAATGTTATTTTGATATTTTATTATTGGCTTTACTGTATTTCCGTGTGAACGGTGACTGCTAAGATTCATAAGGGACTTCGTTGAAAGGAAATTAATGGTTAATTTATGATAACAATGATACATCATTCTTCAAATTTTTGTTTATCATCTAATATTATTTTGATATTTTATTCTCGTCATTCACGTGTTTCTACGTGAAGGGTGAGTGTTAAAGATACGTCATGAATTTAAAGATATTTTCTGTATTCTCTGTAGTTGACTGTTCTGGGAGCAACCCATGTCGGAACGGAGGTGTCTGTGAGAACAATGCATGTACATGTGCTGCGGGGTTCGATGGAGCTTTGTGTAATCAGGGCATGTGAGTTAAAGTCTCACCTCCCTGGTGTAATACAGGTTAGAAAATACATTGTAACATATTGTTATGTAGTAGTTGTATCAGGGCTCACCTCCCTGGTTGTATCACTCCCCACTTCCTTCAGTCATTTACCTTTCATTCACCTTTCTCCCACCTGCTCCATGACAAAACAGAACCCCATTATCCCATTACTTTTATTATAAACAATTGACCATTAATGACCACCCAAGATTTTGATTCAAGGATCGAACCACATTCCAATAATTATGACTCATAGGCCCAAACCCCAGTTACTTACACTCTCTATAGCCACTCCCCATAATACCATGACAACCCTGACCATTGACCAATGATAAGCATGAATAAGTCTCCCCTCCTAACATTGTTTCTCTCCCCAAACTTTCCTGAATGTAAAGTTGGATAATGATAGGGACTTTGGATTCAGCCATCACCCGCTGAAAAAGGGTTTTGAGATAGACTAGCTACAGGCATAGGGAGAGATAATATTGTGTATCTCGGATTCTAGAGTCGTCTACTAGTGAGTCATTGTGTTATGTACTTAAGCAAGAAGATTGAATAAATGCTGCTGAAACTGTAAACAAGCTCCTCGCCTCATCATGTATGCTCCTCGCCTACAATCACCGATCCCTACACGACATGATGGAGGACCCGGCTTCCTTAAAAAGGACTGATACTCATCACCATCAGAATGAGTATCACGACTGACAAGCCATTCAACGACGATGACAAGGACAGCAATATATGACAATGATGATGACTTAACCCATTGCTAAGATGGAGCCTGATCATAACGCTGAACCAACGACAACACGCACAGATGACATCAACGACAGACTGGACTTGCCGAGTGCCGACATTATCGACGACTACATTCATCGATGCACCAACAGCAGACCACGTCGGACAGAGAACTGCGGATCGGGATCCACATCGACAAGCAAACAATACCCATGACATCGACGGACAGCACCCACGACCATAATAATGTGGACATTGATCGACGTCTCGCTTGACCCGGATTTCTTTGCTAAATAACTCAAACTCTGACACCTAGAACTTTCCTGTTTTTACTTTTTTTCATACTTCTAAATTAAATTGCTCCGCTGCTTTTAACTCATCAAGCAGCTAGTTTGCTAGTTGGGCAAGTGTAACATTTTTCGTTCCAAGTTTATAAGTGAGTGTGTAAGAGAGGATAGTGTTGTAGTTAATTGTTTTTAATACTTTTAATAATGTACATCTGCGTAATTTATTTGCAACAAATTCGTAGTGATTACATGTAGTTAATTGTTTTTAATACTTTTAATAATGTGCATCTGCGTAATTTATTTGCAACAAATTCGTAGTTTGCACTAGCTGTCTTTTATTTACTTTGTATACTTGTCGAAATCTTTTTAATTGTTTTATCTAAGATTCTACCCTTCTACATTAATGTAATATAATCCCAGGAATATAATATATGTAGCTAAACATGCTAAAGGAATTGGAAGTTTAATAAATTACATCACCACCCTATATAAGCTTGTCTAAGACGAGATCAATTGCTCAGGGCTTTCATAATCCTGCCAATTTGCAGTGGAAAGGTGAGCAATATAATTTGTGAATGGTTAAATGTCACATGCTAGTCTTAACAATTAATTAGCTTATCACTGTTTGAGGCTTTTGTAAACCTGCAACATTTCTGCAGTTAAAAGATGGACAGATACATTTGTGTGATAGTGTTTTATTTTGATTCTATTATACTTTCGTGTTTCGTATTCATATTTTGTAATTGTAGTTCGATTTTTAATTGAGTTGAAATTAATTTAATGAATGAAATATCTAAATAGTCACCCAGGGTTATAGATGCAGTTACCAGTTGCAGTACGACGTAATTTAAACTGGCAAACAGTCAGTACACTTCATAATTTAAATGAAGATTGTCTCTGCAATATTGATAAACTGAACAAACCACATGTGTATAAGGATATTTGTTTTTTATTTTCTTGATGCTAAGTCTTTCTTTATGAAAAAATATTATACGTGACATTTAAAAAAAAAAATTTAAACGATTTTACAATTTGACCTTCTTATTACTGCCCACAATTTTGACCTCATTTGACCGCATGACACATACTGACTGACAGCAGGATACCGATACAGACACCCCAGACCAGGAAGGTTTTACTAGTCTTTTTATATGTAGACAAATTACCTTCATATCGATTGTGTACTGTATTATTTTGTTTTGTATTACTATAAGTCTAGAGGCATTATAGTGTAAAAGTCACTTTATATCAATGTGTATCAAAGCTTTCCTTTATAAGTCTAGAGGCACTTTGTAGTTTAGATTAGTACTTGTGATGTATGACAATAATAATTAGGATGTTAAACTGATGTTGAAATTTACACAAGTTGAAAGCACTTTTTCATGAATGAAGTTATATAATATATCATTATCATAGTTCATCCGTTTGATGACTTTACAAGGATTAAAGTTCACTTGTTATATGATATTCAACAAGTTTGAAAGTACTTGTTCATCGTTCATTCTTATTTACCCAGATAGCAATGCGACATTGGGCCAACGTTGGGCCAACGTTGCGCCAATGTATCTCGAGGCATCGGGCCAACATCAAGTTACGACGTTGGCCCAAAGTCAAAATGTCCGCCAGCCCAATGTTGACCCGACGTCGGGAGATTACGTTGGGCCAACATCAGATTCTGACATTGGGTCGACATCAAAATTGAAACGTTGGCCCGATGTAAAAATGTCTAGCTACCCAATGTTGGCCCAATGTCATTTTCCCGACGTCGGCCTAACATAATTTGTCTGATGTTGGCCCAATATTAGAATAACCGCAAACCCGATGTTGGCCCAATGTCATTTTCCCGACGTCGGGCCAACATTATAATTCTGACGTTGGCCAGATGTGAATATGTCTGCCAGCCCAATATTGGCCCAATGTCATTTTTCCAACGTCGGCCTAACATAATTTTTCTGACGTTGGCCCAATATTAAAATAACCGCCATATAGTTTATACAAATCACTGTAAATGTTAATCAAAGTTTTCCTGTATAAGTCTACAGGCACTTTGTAGTTAATTAGATTAGTATGACAATTGTTATTGAATGTTAAATTCTTGTTGAATTTTACACAAGTTGAACGCACTAGCTCGTTCAAGACAGAAGTTATATAACGTATCATAGCTCATCATTTTGATGGTTTTACAAGGAGTGAATGTACACTTGTTATATGATATTCAACAAGTTTGAAATTACTTGTTCATCATTTATTATTCTTTAAGTTGTTTTATGATTATGGAAAGAACTCTATAATGGGTTAGGAATGTTAGTCACTTGAATTCTGTGTTGATGCTTCATACGAAGTACATATATTGTCTGTTTAAACACAGAAGTACTTTCAATGCCTAGAGCGCACCCGTTGCTTTCTCATTTATAATCATGTTGTTAAGATGTTAGATTTGCATCGACAGTATTGTTCGTATATTTCTAAACCACAGTGTGCATACTGTGATGACGATTTCTTGTTTGATTAGACTCGTATATTTCTTTAAAGATTGAGTCATTTGATAAGTGACACGCGTTTACATTTTGAAAACGTTTTGGCTTTGATAACTTTATAATGGTTATTTAACTTGATTATATGTTTTTCTTGTTTGTGTTCATGTGCATAAGTCTGCACAATTTATAATTTGAAAGTTTGAAGTTGTTTTTATGTGCATAAGTCTGCATGATTTTATAATGTTACAGTTGCTTATTGTGCATAAGTCTGCACTAGTATTGAATCACAAATAAGTTTTGCTATATGCTATGCTTGTTTAATCGTTTAGGATTATTAGTATGTAGCTATTAACCTTTGTTATGATAGCCATAATATGAATAGGTTTCGATTTTAGATATTTACTATGTTGTACATTTATGTGTTTGAGAGAGAGGGAGAGTAAGAGAAGATATGGAACAATGATCACATGTTTCGCTTATCAGTTTTCACTTTTCTTTAATTAGTTAATATGTGTATAATTTTAAGATGTCCCCCTTTTTCTTCCTCTACTGTTTTTGAAAAGAGGGAGAAGAGCCTTATTTTCCAAAGAAAGGGGATGTTATGTAAAGGTATTACAAATCTACACCCCCTATACAGATAAGACCCACCCTGCGAAATACCAGACCTCCTTCGAAGACATTTGTTTAATAACATAGTCCAGCCAAATAAACCCCAAATTGTATACATCTTTAAAGTGCCCCCAAACCTCCAAAACAAAAGACTTCCTGTCTTTCTCCCAATAACCAAAGCCCCCTTTATTTGATAAGACCCTTTCCCAGAACAGTGTTAGCTAGATGACTATGAGAATTGACTTGTCTTTGTCCCTTTGACACAATGTAACCTACCCTCTTATTCCTTGTGTCCTCCTGTATAATTATGAGAGGTTCTGGCTTTCTGGGGGAGAAGAGTTCAGACCATCACCAAGCTAGTACCTATACTTTGTCTGCTCTATATCTTGTAAATATACTTGTGAATCTGGACTATGTGACTCATCGTTTTTAGAGTTATATAATAAAATATACTCTTGCATATTACACTTCAAGCAAAGTCTCAGCATCTCTTTATTTCATGTACCTCTCAATATTCCAATAACTCAATACACCGATCCCAACACGACAATATGTCTGCCAGCCCAATATTAGCCCAATGTCATTTTTCCAACGTCGGCCTAACATTATTTTTTTGACGTTGGCCCAATATTAAAATAACCGCCAACCCAATGTTGTCCCAATGTCATTTCCTAGACGTCGGGCCAACATCATAATGCTGACGTTGGCCCGATGTGAATATGTCTGCCAGCCCAATATTGGCCCAATGTCATTTTTCCAACGTCGGCCTAACATATTTTTTCTGACGTTGGCCCAATATTAAAAAAACGCCAACCCAATGTTGTCCCAATGTCATTTTCCCGACGTCGGGCCAACATCATAATTCTGACAATGGCCCAATGTTAATATGTCCACCGGCCTAATGTTGGAGCAATGTCATTTTTCGGACGTCGGGCTAACATCAAAATTCTAACGTTGGCCCAATGTTAAAATATCCGCCAGTCCAATGTTGGCCCAATATCATTTTTCCGATGTTGGGCTAACAAAAATTATCTGACGTTGGCCCAATGTATAAATGACCGCCAACCCAATGTTGGCCCGATGTCATTTTTCCGATGTCGTGCCAAAATGAAATTCTGAATGTGAAAACAATATTTCCTATACTGGGCCAACATTATATGCACGTTGGCCGTCGTTCTAGTTGACTAATTGAAATAACTAATCATTAAGAGGATCAATTTGCAAGTAGCCTTTGCATGCATAGAACAATGGACACTTGCACTATTATAAGGTAAAGTGTCTTGTGTGACATAAAGCCTAGTAAGAAAACATGAATCAATTTCCCTGAAGTTAAGTTAAACTTCAAAGTCACGTGTATACTTTGTAACATGCAGGGAAGGAATTGGTCCTCTTAATGGAAAACTGTGAGATATTACATGCGTGTACTGTACAATGAAAGAATTGTTAAATTAAATGATTCAAGTTTTTGATAAATATCAAACAAGCACAAATTTCACTCTACTTTATCCTTTGTTTAATCTCTGTTATGAAGCAGCGTTACAGTTGAATACAAAATACATTATGTGTAATTAAGACATACTAAAAAGAATGTGGTACCTGAAACAAAACCGAATATCGAACAAAAACAACGCAATACGTCAACACTCCTTCAAAAGCTGTACTAAATACATGTACACGAAAATTATGGACATCTTGGTAGGTACATGGATTCATGATCGTTTTTGTTTACACTAAATTCCAATAAATAAATGTAATACATGTTCAAGCTGTTTCAAGAATAGCATTGAAGTATAATTTAGGTGTAAGTTTTGTTTCTTTTTTAAAGTAGGCCTACACTGTACATGTATCAATCACTGAAACAAGTATGTCGCGTGCAGTCGATTCTTACTGGCGAGCAAAGCCCCAGACAATGTCATCCTGAATTAGATGCCATGCTGAATTTAGTGGCATGACATTCGTCACAAAATAAAGATGCCTACAGCATTATGGGTTCAAGGATCCAATTTGATGTGAAGAGATAAATGGTCTTAAGAAAATACTTTGTTTCGCCTAAGGAATTAGATGTTATCTTACATAATATGTGGCAAAGTGGTGTGTTAATCGTATTTTCAATTTGATGTACCATTTTGTTTAATGGATTCTCCACCAACAAAAGATTATACATGTAGTTTAGTATTACACAGTTCAAGTCAAAATTGCAGAAGAGACGTTTCAATGTAATTTGCACTGATTCTTGTGTGATACTACATGAAAGAGAGAAAAACAAATCTCGATGAAAAAATTACAATTCCCAAAATTTCTTTAAATTTCACTCATAAACAACTGCATTGTAGTTGAGCCCTTCTTCAATCTATCATCAAGTACATCTATTTGTCAAATAAAATTCAATATAGGATTAGTTCCCCTTTAAGCATGTGCATTATTATGTTAATCTACTGGTACACATACTTGTTGAGACCTCATTTTACAGGGTTACAAACTTACTATACATAGTATATCAGTAAATCCTGCATAACTTTGTGTTTATAGTTGGGATGAAGCAATAAATGTATTCGTTGACAGTATGGGACATGCCAGGCCCGTACAACACGAAATAAAATCAACAACTAAATTATTCATACCCTCGGCAATTTTATTTTTACTTTTAAGTATTTGAAAATTTGATTTGTCGTGATTTAAGACTCTTGAGAATTTGAAATATTAAAGCTTGCATCTAACAGTATTCAGCAAATATCCGAATTCACCCAGTCCACCTTTTATTCTTGAGTTACGAAAAACACACCAAAAAAAACACATCAAATGTATACAAGGGGCGTGAATAATTGGCTATTAACTGTATGTCGTACGGGGCAAGGTTGACGTTGTTAAAATAAAAGAAGAATGACGTAAATGCCAACAAATTTGAGAGAATCCATATTTACAAAAAGTGTAGACCCCCAAACAAAACCTTGGCAAAAACTATTCATTCTCATGTCGTACAGGACAATGTGGCGGAAATGGCCTGGCCAATTATTGGCGGTGAAGTCCGCAGGCAACTACGCAACTAAGACCTTGGATGTATCGTACAATGTATTTGGAACTTAGAACATGCACTAGATAACACACTGTTTAGCAATTTTATGTGCAACAACGTACGTATGTGACAAGTATCACATTTCAACTATTTCGTCTTAAAAATGAGAGTCCAAAGTCTCCATAGTACGACACTTACCTAATTTAGGTGGTCTAAGCATTAAAGTAAAATATTATCCCCTTAGTAGCCAACTAAATTCAAAGTTGTATTATTACAATTTTGTCACGTTAAACATGTATAAAGCATACTCATGTATATAGAGGGGAAAAGGGAAAATGTTGAATGGTTCCTCACAGTGTATGCAAACGTATTCATAAGTAGTTCTCTCATTTTGAACATAAATAAGCATGCATTCCATAAGCTTTGTCCAATCATATCTGCTGGATGACCAAAAGGATGAAACTGTCTCATACTCATAAAATCGATTGATAGTTGATGAGCAGTATCTTATAACTCTAACTGCTGGGGCCAAAAGAAAAAACAAGTTCAGTAGATTTTTTCCTCCTCCAGCCAGCAGAGTTTAAAAAAGTTCACGAGTCAAGAGGAAGGGGGTGAGAGTGGTATCACGGGTGCATCAGTCAATCACTGTCCTCTTCATCTGCACCCACGTCGCTTTCGTCGTTTGGTTCGTTGCCTTCCTCAATCTCAATTAATGCAGCTGCTGCAAAAATTAAAAGCGATGGAATATTGGTATAGAATGAAAGTAAAACATTAAAAAGGCAACGTAAAACACGATGAATACGACTGCGCCTTTAATTCCTCCGCCTGATCGGTTTGAAATGCTGTATAACGCTTTTCCAAATTATATAAATCATTGCAAACATGTTTTTTATACATTCCCTGTATGGAAAAAAAATGTAGACCGCCATCAATAAACTTTTTGTACAGAGGAGCTCACTGATGACAACTTCAAAAATCAACATCTTTCTTGTTTTTAATCGGAAATCGCTCAAACTTTCATTTATTTGTTTCTTTAACTATTCTGCTTTCATTATTACCAACTTAATATCGGGCGGCAATTCCAATTCAAACCAAAAATTATATTAAATTTTGTATAACTTCAACTTTTAAAAAGATTGCACATAGAGATATATATATATATCTAAATGTAGATGATTAGTCTGTTTTCCTGGAATGTTCCTTTTTGATCATTTGCGGTATGGTTGTAAATTCAAACGGGTGTTGCCTTGAAATTATACTAAAGTAACGAATTTCTATAGCGGTACTAATTTATAGGTCTGTATTCAACAGAGAAAACTACATTTCAGATGTCGAAAAATATTTACAGAACCATTCTCATTCTCAAATAACATTTATAGTTTGGGGTCATTTATACCAAAGCTAACTACGAACTGGCCTGTTAGAAAATGTTACTTGCACATTAGTGAAATGGTTACCTTTCTTTTTTTCTTCTCTCTTTCGGCGTCCTCCAGACCTGTCACTGCTGTATCTCAGCCACTTAAGATATTCAGTAGAAGTATTTGTGGGAGATTCCTCATGATCTTCTAGTGGCACCTTAAAAACGAGAGATTTCTTTGTCTTAATCTGAAAATACTTCATCACACAAGCGTTTTGGTCATTTATGGGTTAAGCCAATCAATAATTATATTCAATACTAGCCTGACTCAGTGTTTCTCACCTCGATCGTGATCTTAGAAACTATTCAAAATAAATTGTGGAAATCAATAACGGAAAAGCTTCTGATGATTTACTGCGGAGGGATCGTACCCTTCTCTGTTTTTTAACGAAGTGACTGCTCTGTTTTTGCATAGCTAGTGAGACAGATATACAGTGACGTAGCGAAAACTCGGTCATTGGTGGGAGGTGGGGGGGGGGGGGGCACCATACGTAAGTCTATTAGATTAACATTTTTCAACCAATCTTTAGTTACATGCACCCTTTTAGGAATTAAACAGTTTCCTGTCACCCTCATCCAAAATACATCAATGAGGATTTGTTTTCCATCCCTATTAAATGTAGACGTACGAGCCCATTTCTGTGTGAGGAAATAAAATGATTGTTGATATAAAACAAAATACAACAAATATGGTGAGGGCTCCTCTTATCCCCCCCGTGACCCCTGCCCCCCCCCCCCCCCCCCCCTCTTTCTAGCTACACCACTGCAGATAGACTACAAAGGATAAATAGCGTTTGACTTGTTTTGGTACCTATTCATTGCACTTGGACATGAAAGAAGAGTAAAGAGAGAGGAGGGCAACTGAATACAAATTTCTACATACAAAAAGGTAATTGGAAAAGAAAGAACAGTGGAAATGAGATAATAAGAAAACTATTAGATGATGTTCATATGCTGATCCTTTATGGTTGAGAATAAATATGTGAAAATATGTTTTTAAAGAAATGAGAAGAAAACCAACAAAATTTGAGTAAAATGAAATACAGAGAAAGATGGATATAACAGACAGTGCCAAGGTTATGACTGACTATTTACAAGCAACCCTTGTAGCATATAAAGCAATATGGCAAAAGGGTACTAAAAACAGTTTTTTAGAATGTAATTTCCCTTTTCATTGCATTAACTTTGAACTCTCAAGGGGCCGCATAACATTGTTTCGTGGGACATATTTAACCAGGACCCCAAAATTAACAGTTCAGACTCAAGCTTACGCATTTTGACCAACATTTTGAAGAGACATTGAACGCACCTGAGAAGGGAAGATGAACGAGAAGAAGAAGAATAAGCAGAAGAAGAAGGAGAAGAGAGAGAAAAAGAGCGGGGAGAAAAGGAAGGATAATAAATGGGGATAGATTCTAGAAAAAAAAAATTCATTGCGATTGATCCACAAAAAAGAAAATCCATCCAAACGTATAACTGATAATTGTGTGACTCAACATCAAGGCCCTAAAAGTGACCGAATACTTCACATAAATTTATTTTTAGTGGGTCGCTATCTTACATTCAAATTATCTCTGATGAAACCGTTTTGGGTTTTGTGTTCCATGTGGCACAGTGCCACAGGGAACACAACACCGAAATACGCGTACAGTACAAACAAATTCATAACAAAACAACAAAAACATACTCGTTAAAAAAGAAATATAAAAGTTCTATTTCCAGATTCTTCAAATAAAAGGAGGAGGAAATTTTAGCCTTTCTGAAAATGTTATAGCCTGGAATTTAAACAGTTTCCAAAAAGGATATCATTAAGGTTTCCAACTTTTGTAATAAGTTCATTTGTATGAAAGCGGATCAATGGCAAATGTTTGAAATAAATCCGACCAATAATACGAAAGTTATGAGTGTTTGATATATATTGGATCAGTATATCTACAAAGTATGCGAAACCCAAATGATTGTGATTGCTATAGTAATAACTCTCCCGTTTGTGGGGTAACAAAATATTGTATTTCTTATTACTTTTTTCTCCTAAGCGCCTTCTCCCTTCGGGCAATGATAAAATGTATTGTGGAAAGCATATTAATAAAGATTTTCGAAAAAAGAGAAGACACTCTCAAGTCTTAGATTTTAAAAACTTGACATTTTAGTAAGTTTGTGTATTGGTTGGAACACATTGGGAAAATTATCCGGCACTTCCTAATAGCGACACTACCGATTAAGCCAATTTGAAGTGCCGAAATGTTTATTGATTACAGCTTTGAAAAATGTATACTTTCCGTATTCTTGTCCGATTTAATGAATCTTTCACCAATCTGCTTATCTGTTTTCTGCTTTCTTTTAGAGTAGTTGTCTGTTAAGGTGGAATTATCCAATTAGGGCGCACTGCTAAAGGCGAAAAGGCGAATTGTTGAAACTCGCCTAGGCGCCTTGAGAGGTCGACTTTTTAGAGAAGACGCGAAGGGATCGAACTCGCCTTCTTGCTTCTCGGGGGTGTATGGAAAGCTGGTTTTTCATTCCTTGTATTTTGATTTATTTTGGTGTTAATATAATATATAAGTATAATAGGCTTAAGTGCTGTTCATTTCAATCAAAATGAAGGAAAGAGTAAGTATCTTTAGCTATAGATTTGTAAAATAAATAGATTACATATCAAGAGGACATATTTCTTATAACAAAAAGTAAAATACTTACGCAATATAACGTCTGCAATGTCCATTTTGCAAATGCCGACTTTTTGTCCCATCCCTTTCCAATTCAAATTGGTAGCGAGTTCGTCTTCAAGCATCGCTTTGAGTATCCGAGCAACTATTTCTTTTTCGGTCGTTCCACCGAGCGTACCAAGAGATTTAATCTGTGATTTAAGCAGTGATAGTTAATTAAGAGTAACGACTCGAGAGCATGTATGGTACGTAGGCTACATCTTAGTTTTAATTGATAAAATGTGGCACACTTATGGTAAGGGGCGGATCTAGGGGGTGGGGGGGGGAGTAGGGGGTTTAACTCAACCCCCCCCCCCGGGCTGCTAAGTGAAAATGTGATGTGCATAGAAAAACGCCATTATGTGTCCAGACCCGCACAGTATTAGTAGATGCCAGGAAAACATCACTTACGGGGGGGGGGGTCCAAAAATAGCAACAACACAAAAATCGCTCAGCGAAATATCGGCCGGCGCGATTTTACTATATGTAAAATTGCTTCTATATAGGTCAGCATCAAACATAACATATCGACATCTAGTCCAACTCGGTGTCATCATCTTTGCATCATCATTACATCATCTTATCTACTTATATTTATATAGTAAACTGTAATAACAAAAGTTATTTGGCCTGATAAGCTTACAAGTTTCTTTTTGAATGGCTTCGCCTTCAGCTGCTCATTCAGCTGCTCCAGCTCAGTGATGTTAGAGACTGGCAGGTGAGCCTCCTCTCCCATGTCCATGGTGTCTGCCTCAACACTCTGGCCTCGAGTATTGAGCAGACTTTGCATCATGGTGGCATTCTGCCGACCCTATTGCTTGATTTCATTCAGCAATCGGATGACACCTGCACAGAGCAAAGTATAGAAGCAACGGTTAAATTAAATGAGATATCACATACCGGTAGTGGCGATAAGCAAAGAGAATTTTTAAGTAGATTAAATTGAATATATTAAATATATTACAGGTATAAATACATACATACAATTAAAGTTGGTAGAATCCGCTAAAAAAAAAAAATCACTGGACATAGGCCCTCATCATAGATGATTGCATAAGGCGGGAAATTGGTTATTTTGGAACAGAAAGGACAGTCGCTAAAAACGAGGTACATAATAAGGCACTGCTGGAAAAGGAATTCCTATGTGTATATGATAGTGTACATGCATAAGGTACTTAATGTGCTCGAACTGTTGGACACTTATCTGTGGAGGAGCAGGATTAATCGCGTTACTCGTTGTAGGCGTGTCTGGACCAGGTGCGCGGGAAGTTGTAGGCGTCTCTGGAGCAGATGTGCGGGAAGTTGTGGGCGTTGAATGCGTAGACGACCGGGAGCTAGTGTATCCTGGAAAGGTAGGGGTGAGGGCCGGGGTGAGGTTAGCTTTTTCGCCCTCTTGGCGACAAGTTCGGGTTCGTCATCGCTGCTTTCTCGAAAGCGTCCAGGGCGTCTGTAATATATAATAACAGTTACATAAGCCTTATAATAAAACTATTAGTAATGATAACGCCACAGGCGCCAAATCTACTTGAAATCAAATCTGCATTGTATACCTTAAAAACAACAGGAGTAAGAACATATCCAAATAAAAAGGAACAATTAGTTATAGGCCAAATCAAACATAATTTTTAAAGATATATTTCAATAACCCCCCCCCCCCCCCCAAGTCATGGACACAATGAGAGCAAAATATGTATTGTTCACTATTAATAAGTCAAAATATTACAAACAGAATTTCCTTTAATTTAGTCAGCTGCTGACAATCTTACACAGAGCCATGTATGTTAATTTACTTTTCATTTTTAATCCTAAAAGGGCCGGATATGTTGGTGCCCTCTCAGTCAAGTGAAATGTTAAAGAAATTGCTATCAGTTCTAATACATGACAGGAAATGTAAGAGTCAATTAGAATTTGAACAAAATGGTGTCCTTACCCTACTCTACGTCTACCAACGTGTTCGTCGTCCGTGGTTGCCAAGGGTAAACAACTTTCAGCCTTACTGAGTTTTTTTCGGGCCTTGTCATAGGAAGCTGATTTCAAATTTCAAAGAAATATAAAAAGAAATAAAGGGGAAAATAGGAAGGGGAAGAAGAAAAAGAAAGAAAGATAAAAGGAAAAATGGAAGAAAATAATGTTTTAAATAATAATAATAATAATAATGATAATAATAATAATAATAATAACAATAATAACGTTTTATTTACCCAGGGTAGCCACTTCAGTTATGAAACTGCTCTTCCAGCGGGCCCTGCATAACATAATATGTTTTCACCACTGTCATTATCTTTTGCAACGCTGTAAACAAGTAAAAATACATCAAATATCCCCCAAAACATCTTATAAAATTTCAGTTTTGTTTTCACTGAAACTATGATATTTCATGGATGGGAACGAGAAAAGATTATTTATGTCGGCCTATGACATATCAAAGAATTCAAATTGTCATCATTTTGTGTAGGACAGAAGAAGAAAAAAAAATTAGCATAACTTGCGAAATAACAGTTTAAGAACTTGTTTTAACTGTCACGTTTTAGTTCTTTGTGCTACGTTAAAAAAAAACGAAAACAAACGCTTATTGTACATGCAGCAATATCAGCTTTACTTCTGTCGATAAAGTAAAAGTAAATTAAAATGTATATGCTTTCAAATGATAATTTGTTTTATATCTATCCATTCATGCTCAATCGAGCAACATTGTTTTGATAATGGCATCTCAAAAATCCATCTGTGCCAGATTTTGGTAAAACATTAATAATGTTAGTATTACATGCACATATGACGAAAATGTAAGATTTTATGTGCATTCGAATGAGCAGTTAGAAAGAAAAAGGGTGAACATTCATTTCCAAAATGACGGTGCACCCTCAGATTTTTAATCAATCAAATTGAGCAATGAAACAGTACCCCTTTTGTGATTGAAAAGGGTGCCTGTATGAAATGTATGGCGCCCGATATTTTGATTCCTGTATGAAATATCACCTAGCTGTCCGTTTCTGCTCTTTTTAAAAGCATTTCTGAATAATGCGTTCGGTGGCGGAGACATGCAAATGCAAAAAACACTATCTATAACAATAATATCACCCGTTTCAGTAACTACTTGATTTTCACCGTCACCATCGATAATATCCCCACTATCACTTATTTGGTTTTGATGGCATTATTCTTAACCCCCCCCCCCCCCCTTCCCCGTTATTTAAATAAGCACATGAAAACAATCGTTTTATTCGGCATTAAAGTTTGAATTACCTTCAGGCCATATGCTCGTTCGTGAACTAGCGGTTACTTGGTTTTACCAAAATCTGGCAGAAATGGATTTTGACAAGCCATTTTCAAAGCAATCCTGTTCAGGAAAGTGCGATGGATTTATATGATCAATGTATCATTTGAAAGCATGTTACTTGTACTGTATGAAAAGTAATGAATTAGATTTATACAGCTCTGATTTGTTTATAATAACAGTTTGAGGTGTTTCGTTTTTTCTGTTGAGTGAATTACCTGTACTTCCGCCTTCCTGAACCTCACAGGTAAACCAAGGCCAGGTGTCTTCTGGAGGGTCGTGCCGCATCACTGCGTTCTTCGCGCTTGCGGCGTCACAGGGGGCCATCGGCAACTCTGTCTCCCGTCATTCTTACCCAGCCACTTGGAGGAGACCACTTCCACCTCTTTGGTGTCCAGAAACTCGACAATAACATATTTATCCATGGTCTGAAATAACATTATTATCTAGTACAAAATAAAATGTACCAACCAGCTATGACCGATTTGATAAGTGCTCATTCGATTGGAGTCTCAAAGGCTAGTACAGAGACGAGACAAAACTAATGAGTAACATGATTCAAGGGAAAGGCAACATAATTATCCATCTCTGAAAGGCAATAGAACAACTTTGCCAACACTTGCTGACACAGGAAAATGATAATAAGCAAATAACTACCGTTGGTGAAGGTGATGGGACAAACTATCACTTCCGAGGCGATCTGGATGTAGCTATCTTTCCGAAGCGAAGCTGAGGAAAGATAGCGTATACATTCTGATCAACGAGGAAGTGATAGTTTGCCATCGCCTGAAACCAAAAGGTGATTATTTGCTTTATATTCCACATCTAAAACAATTTAACTACAAAAAGAAAAGGACGTGTATGCATGTACATGAAAGACACCAGGCCCAAATTCACACCAAAAAAGATAAAAGTTTAACACAACCCCTTAAAGGTATGGTGCGCGCATGTGTTTGCTTTAATATTGCGCTCATTGGTAATGCGCGCTTAATTACGCCTGTTTTAGTGCGCTTTTGGATAATCTTTAGTGAAGGTGCGTTGCCCTTTGTAGATAGTACCTCTATCTTCAGTAAAAGTGCGTTGCCCTTTGTAGATAGTACCTCTATCTTCAGTAAAAGTGCGTTGCCCTTTGTAGATAGTAGTACTATCTACAAAGGGCAACGAACTTTTTGCTACTCCCACTAAATGATGGGCGAACTATCTTTGATCACGTGATTTACTTATGACCAATCGCAGAGCAAGATTTCTCAGTATGTGGAATATAATCTGAAATAACAATATTAACTAGTACAAATGAATAAAATGTATGAAGGGGTGACCAAAGTTCGCGGACATTTTAGAACATATTACAAAATGTGATATTCGATCTATGATTTCTCACATTCTACACAACTTTATTTATTTCAATTATTACCAAATGGACGGCAAAGGTTTTTACTACAGATTGGTTCAACTAGAAAAATTTACCGTCGAAGGATTTCGGAGATATCGCGATCTAAAAATTCGATGTCCGATCGTGCGTGCGCGCTGCATCTAAAAAAGTCATAAAAACAATGAGACCTAACTTCACGCACGGTGGTTTACAGTTGATTTATCAAAAAATGTGTTCCATCAAAAATAAGGTAATATCATAATTTGCAAGGCAAGATATCGTACAATCAGTTAGTACCACTCTTTACTTACAATTTTGAGGATTTCTGATCTCAAAATGAAGATTTCCAGACCCTTATCGGTAAGTTGATAATTTTTCGGAACGGACGCAAATAACTGCAAAATTTGCCGATCTTTTGTCAATATTTTCACAATTTCGCACCCAATTCTAAAGAAAATTTCGTTTCTGGGTAATTTTATGACCCTCTTTCCATTGGTGATATCAGATTTTCGAAATCTTACCGATTTTTTGAGAAAGCGAACTTTGGTCACGCGCGAACTTTGGTCACCCCGCCATACCAACCAGCTATGACCGATTTGATAAGTGCTCATTTGATTGGAGTCTCAAAGGCTAGTACAGAGACGAGACAAAACTAATGAGTAACATGATTCAAGGGAAAGGCAACATAATTATCTATCTCTGAAAGGCAATATAACAACTTTGCCAACACTTGCTGACACAGGAAAATGATAGTCTGAAATAACAATATTAGCTAGTACAAATGAATAAAATGTACCAACCAGCTATGACCGATTTTAACATGTGATCCTCTTATTTTCTAATAAGTGCCCCTTTTCATTATGATAAGTGCCCCCATTAAAAAGAGAGAGCTCCTTCCCCTTCTCATAACTTCCCCTTTCCCTTTCTAATAAGTGCCCCTTTTCCTTATGATAAGTGCCCCCATTAAAAAGAGAGAGCTCCTTCCCCTTCTCATAACTTCCCCTTCCCCTCCTCATAACTGCCCCTTTTAAACATCTGAACGGTGCCCCCTTTTCATTCAACAAATGCACATTTTCCTTTATTATAAGTGCCCCTTTTACATTTTTATAAGTGCCCCTTTTCATATCTGGTCAGTGCCCCTTTGCAACTCTGATAATTCCCCTTTTAATAATGATACGTGCCCCTTTTCCTTTCTAATAAGGGACCTATCCCCTTTTCACCTCTTATAAATGACCCTATTAAAATCTGATGGGTGCCCCTTTTCCGTCAACAAATGCCTATTTCCCATTTTCGTAAACGCCTCCTTTTCATCACTGGTGAGTGACTCTTTTCAAGTGAAAAAATGCCTCATTTTCACCTCTTATAATTATCCTTTGTACTTATACACGTGCTCCTTTTCTTTTCTAATAAGTGTCTTATCCCTTTCGATAATTGTCCCCTTTTCATGTAATCATTAAACGTGCCCCTTATTTAAAGCGACTAAGAGCAGTTTCCCCCAAAGTTCGCTCGCTGCGCTCGCTCGCATTTAAAGATTATATAATATTATGTTACTTATCAAAGGTCTTTTCAATCTTCCGTTATGAGAATGTGCTTATAACCCCATCACG